GATCTCTAATACCAGCCCCATTATGTTTAACTGATATCCCCACATCATGAGGGAAATCAACTTCCTCTTCAGGGGGAAACAGTTGACTCTGGGATTAATGTTAGACCCATACAGTGTGCACTGCACAGCAAATATTGGGTGTACACTTACTGGCATATATCCAACAATAAAGACTATTTGGGCATCAAACATCTCATATTTTTTTAAACTGGATTACAGGATGCACTCAAAGGCACACACACTTTAACTTGACTGGTTTGTCATTTAACTGCTGCTGCCTGTTCACACTCTGATTGTTGACACACGCTGCCCCCCTGTGGCACCCTGTGATACTCTGAAAGAGGAACTATGCTGTTGTACACATCAAAGTACTATTACTGCACATGTGAAGCTTGTGTTAATCGCCTTAGGTGATGTCACTTGAGTTGACATTGGTTGGGACTGCAGAGTACAAGTTTGCAAATGAAAACAACAACAGGGGTGTTGAGTTAGAAAGAAGTGAGTTTACTTGGCCTCTGTAGCCCAGTCCTCATCTCTGCTTGAGGCTACTGACTGGAGCCTACATTAGCTGCTAATAGCATAAGACACCTGAATCTTTAAGTGAACAATAGTGACAATATCTGTAGTGTTGTATTCAACCAAAGAAAATCTTGGTCAATTGAAATTCGACCTACTCCTCAACCAATCGATTGGTCGATGGGGGAAAAAGACTGCACCTTACCTGGTAGCTTTGTGTGTCCACCAAAGTGTTGATTTTCCTGTCACAGGGCTCAACGTTAACACTCGTCCAGGGCAAGTATGCTCTGTGTTCAGGCAAGTGGAATGCCTCAAGTGAAAAATTAATGTGATCTCCAGTGTAATATTGTCAAAAAAATTAAAAATAAATAAACTGTCACTTGCGACTCCATCTCACCCACCACTAAAGCAAGATTTATATTTATGTGTCGAAACAACACCATACCTGCAGTAGCCTACGCCGTAGCTTGTCGTGCATCTCCCCAGAAATGTAACCACACATCACGACAACATAGAACTCCTGTCTACTTTTGTCAGCTGAAACCATTTCCCTCAGTGGAAATGAAGCATTTATTTACTTTTATTTCACAGATAAGAAATATCAAATTGTGAAGACAATAAAGCCTCCACAAAATAGCAATTTTAATCTTTTGTGTGATTTATCCTAGTTTCATGTGAGTGAAGGAAATCTCCACTGGTTGCTAGGCTAATTTATACAGTGTAAAATGCCATAGCCTTGTGCTAATAACGTTAGCATGTTATATTTGTTTGGTAAACATACTTAGTATAAGACAGTCATCTGGTAAACCTTGTGAGTTGTAATGGAGTTGAATTTTGTAACGTAACCTTTGTTAAATGTTGCTGTTGTCCCTGGCGTCATATGAGTAGAGGAAGTCTACTAGCTGTTATGCTAATTTATACGATGTAAAATACAATGGGCTTGTGCTAAAAAAATATAGCATAAAAAAAAACTGAAAAGACTACAAAATAAACTCAAAGAGCTGGATAAAAATGAAGAGAAACTTAAAGGTTTATAGTGTTAAAAGAAAGGAGATGCTTTATTGACCTGTTTATCATTTTGGATTGTTTCTACAGCATCCTCAGATCCAAAAAGAGTCTCAGTACATCAAGTACCTCTGCTGCGATGATGCTTGGAGCATGAACCTTTGGGTGACTGGAATACGGATTGCAAAGGTACATTTAATCACCTCTGCACTTAATAATGACAGAAAAAAAATCTCCATTTGACGTGGACTCATGCTCTGTGGTGTGTTCCTTACACTTTCAGTATGGTGTGTCACTGCATGAAAACTATAAAACTGCAGAAAAGAAAGCAGCTGTCAGCTCTGTGTGGACGAACCGCAGCACCCCATCGAGCTCCAACTCATCAACGCCCTCACCCACCATCAAAGGTAGCACGACACACAATGCTGCCATTACTGAGTGTTTACTGATGTGAAACAATCCAGATGTAGAGATATTAGAACAAACCTTTCCCCTGTGTGTTCACTTATGGTGTTTCTCCTTCTGTACCAGCCAAATCACCAAGCCAGGCCAACGGTCATGCTCCCAAGCCCCAACCAGGACCTGTGTCTCAGGTATAAAACTCTTCATTTTTCATGATCTTTTTTTTTTGTTATTATTATTGTTTAGTCTATAAAATGTTAGAAAATAGTACAAAATGCCCATCACATTTCCCAAATCGCAAAGTGATGCTTTTGCTTTTCGTCAAGTAATCAGGTAGAATTCAAATATATTAAACTGACAATGATAAAACACTGAACTGAAATGTAAACGCATTAGCATACTATTCTATGACTTTATATTTAAAACATTTTATGGCATACTTTACTAGGACTTTTATTACATTTCTATGGGATACTATACTTTTTTATACTGTTTGACATATTATACTATGACCATTTTATTACTTTTTTTTTTTTTTAAACTATACTTGTACTACAGTACCATACCATCTTTTATGGTGTGCTATACTATGACTTTTTAAATCATTTTTAAAACATACTATACTATGACATTTTGATGTCATACCATGCTGTAATTTTTTTAATAACATTTTATTGGCATACTACACTATTACTTTTTTAAATAACATTTTTTATGAAATTCTTAAGACTTTTTTTGGTGTACTATACTATGATTTTTTTTAACGTACTTCTTTTATTGCCTACTATAATAGAACATTTTATGTCATATTATGCTATAACTTTTTTTAAAAAAAAATTATAAGCATACTGTACTATATTTTTTATGACATACTATGCCATGTTTTTTTTTTTAATAACATTTTAATGGCATATTATACTATGAATTTTTTATGACTTTTAATGGGACACTATATATGATTTTTTTTATTACAATACTAATAACTAATGACATATTATACTACAATTTTTTAAATACATTTTTCATAAGCATACTATACTATGAGTTTTCATTACATTTTTATAGCATATTATACAATGACATTTTTATGACTTTCTTTCTGAGATACTTTCTTTCACTATAATTATTCTACTATATTAGGACATTTTTATGGCATACTATACTATGACATGTATAAATATTTTTTTATGAAATATTACTCTATTCTCTTTATGACATTTTCATGGCATACTGTACTATGACTTTTTTTTAGTTAAAAAAAAAACAAAAAGAACTAATAATGTTCCCGCCTCTTGTACAAGTTGTATCATTATGTCATATTCTGTCTTTTCAGGACTTTGGAAATGTTCCACCTCCACCCCCACCACCACCATTGGCTGAGATCCTTCCTCCACCACCTCCAGACCCAGTCCTCCCTCCACCACCTCCTTTGGCTGCCAAGAGTCCCTCAAGACCTTCCCCTCCCCAGCGACACCTGCCAACCAACTTCCCGCCACCTCCTCCTGCAATGGACAACCTCCCTCCTCCACCGCCAGCCCCACCCAACGATGATGCCTTAGAGGCCCCGCCAGACTTCCTTCCACCACCTCCTCCGGCCGCTGGCTTTGGTTCGCTGCCACCACCTCCGCCATTTAACTCGCTACCACCACCGCCTCCCCCAGCGAGTTTCGGAGGTGTGGATCAGTCTCTGCCTCCTCCACCACCAGATCCAGGGTTTTTACCTCCACCTCCACCTCAGCCAGTGTTCACAGGGGGTGGAGTACCCCCTCCGCCTCCACCACCACCTCCTCCTCCTCCTCAACCTGCTGCTGCCCCAAGACCAGTGCGGCCTTCTGGCTCAGTGAAGAAGATGCCTCCTGCTCCGCCAAAGAGAACTACACCATCACTGCATGGAGGAGGAGGAGGTGGAGGAAGTGGTGAGGACTTCATGTCAGAACTGATGCTGGCCATGAACAAGAAGCGTGGAAATAAATAGCCTGAGAAGTTTTTTGGAGTGTAAAAAAGTACGACCTGCACCCGCACATGACGACCGACTTAACTCCTAACCAGGCTTGTCTTGATTTCAGCAAAACAGCTATTCTTTACATCCACAACAATACTGAACATCTCCAACATGAAGCCAGCGGATCAATACAGACTTTATCTCTTCCAGAAAAGACAGTGATCTATCCTTTATTTTAACAGCTTATCCAAGATAGAATTTCGCAAGAATCAAGTAAAAGACTAATTAATCTTAAAAGAATATTTCACCCACAAAATGACCATTTGTATACCAATTACTCAATGACAGCTCCTGCAGGAAAATCCAAGTCTTATTTATCCAGTCGTATGTCACTATCTCTAAAACATTACAATTTAATGTAAGTCAGTGGAGTCTCATCCATGGCTGACAAGCTTGAGGAATTTCTTGATATTGTTACATTTTTTGTGAAAATCCATGTGTTTGGGAAGTATTGAGCATACAACTGAAGAAATGAAATATGGATTATACTGCACAAGTTGTGAGTGATTGTAAAAGGATGTTTGGACATAGTTTTGCTGTTGTTAAACATGGTCCCCAATGACTAATTAATGAATAAGGATTTTTTTATGGCTCTATTCATTGTGGAGGCACATAAGAAAAAGGTGTTCTTAACAGTTTCAACTCAAGTATATCAATATACAAATGCTAATTTTGCAAATGAAGTATTCTTTTATGACCTGCTTTATACTGTTTTGAAAACCTGCTGGGAAAAAAAACATTATCTGTTGTAATAAATAGGAGGTGTTATTTGTTTTTGATGACTTAAAAAATGCAAAGCTGGCATCATACTTCAAAGAGACATTTTTATAGAGTTGTACATATTGTGACACGTTTGCATGGACGACTGTAAATACTAAAAAAACACTTTCCCATATACAGAGTATCGGATTACTCTTCAAATGACTAAAAAGCTAAATGCATGAATGGAATATAATTTCTTTTTGGAATGAACTGTTGGGTCTTCTTCCTGTCACTGAGTAAAACCTGCTGAAATCTGAAATGGAAAAAGCACTGGCCCTGTGAACTTAGATTCTTACAAAAACAACAGGACAGCTTTTACTGAAGCATATTTGAATTTATTTTGGTGTAAATATGGCATTACAAGAAGTATTTATCTGTGAAGCAGTCAAATTACAATTCAAGTTTAATTCTTCTGTAGCACTGAGAAGTATAATTTGTTGGTCACTGTATCCACACATGGTGGGAAATCTCAGTAGTAAAGAATATTAAACAGCCATGAACTTGACATGTTGGACCAAACTTTTCCCCCCAGCAGGAGAGAATTTATTAATTAGACCATTAAAATGCTGGTGTGCTGTAATTCTTTTTCACTTTAGTCAGTTTGTTCAACCCAAGAGTCTCTCAGGAGGAACAGCTGACCTTTAACCTCTTAGCCCACAGAGGAGGTCTTGCCGCATAGCCTGCCTCCTCTGCAGTCTCTTGTGTAACAAAGGGAAAGGACAGTATATGGTGCAGCAGCTCTACCTAGTGGCAGAAAAGTAAAAGACACTTTGTTAAAATCACACAACTTGTCAAAGAGAGGCAGAAACATTGCTTTCATTTTGGTCAGAAAAATCAAACACTTTATTTACATGATATGTGCAAGAAAACCTCTGGTACATCGAAGTATGTCACAAAAATTCCATAGTCATCAAACATCTTAGTATACAATGCCATACAAATGGCATAAAAAGTCATAAAAATTGTCATAATATAGAATAAAAATAAATAAAAATATCATAGTATGGTGTTGCATAAAAAAAGTCAGAAAAATTATAGTATAGTATGGCATAAAAAAAGTCATAAAAATATAGTATAGTATGGCATAAAAAGGTCAGAAAATGATCATAGTATGGCATATAAAAAGTCAGAAAAATGATCATAGTATAGTATGGCATAAAAAAAGTCAGAAAAATGATCATAGTATAGTATGGCATAAAAAAAGTCAAATTGTCACAGTATAGTATGGCATAAAAAAAAGTCAGAAAAATGATCATACTATAGTATGGCATAAAAAAAGTTATAAAAATGGTCATGGTATAGTATGGCATAAAAAAGTTATAAAAATGGTCATAGTATAATATGGCATAAAAAAGTCATAAAATGGTCATAGTATAGTATGGCATAAAAAGTCATAAAAATGGTCATAGTATAGTATAGCATAAAAAAAGCCATAAAAATGGTCACAGTATAGTATGGCATAAAAAAAGTCATAAAAATGGTCACGTATAGTATGGCATAAAAAAAGTCATAAAAACGGTCATAGTATAGTATGGCATAAAAAAAGTCATAAAAATGGTCATAGTATAGTATGGCATAAAAAAAAGTCATAAAAATGGTTATGGTATAGTATGGCATAAAAAAAGTCATAAAATGGTCATGGTATAGTATGGCATAAAAAAAGTCATAAAATGGTCACGGTATAGTATGGCATAAAAAAAAGTCATAAAAATGGTCATAGTATAGTATGGCATAGAAAAAGTCATAAAAATGGTCATGGTATAGTATGGCATAAAAAAAGTCATAAAAATGGTCACGGTATAGTATGGCATAAAAAAAGGTCATAAAAATGGTCATAGTATAGTATGGCATAAAAAAAGTCATAAAATGGTCATAGTATAGTATGGCATAAAAAAGTCATAAAAATGGTCATAGTATAGTATGGCATAAAAAAAGTCATAAAAATGGTCATGGTTTAGTATGGCAAAAAAAAAGTCATAAAATGGTCATAGTATAGTATGGCATAAAAAAGTCATAAAAATGGTCATAGTATAGTATGGCATAAAAAAAGTCATAAAATGGTCACGGTATAGTATGGCATAAAAAAAGTCATAAAAATGGTCATGGTTTAGTATGGCATAAAAAAAGTCATAAAATGGTCATAGTATAGTATGGCATAAAAAAGTTATAAAAATGGTCATAGTATAGTATGGCATAAAAAAGTTATAAAAATGGTCATAGTATAGTATGGCATAAAAAAAGTCATAAAATGGTCACGGTATAGTATGGCATAAAAAAAAGTCATAAAAATGGTCATAGTATAGTATGGCATAGAAAAAGTCATAAAAATGGTCATGGTATAGTATGGCATAAAAAAGTCATAAAAATGGTCACGGTATAGTATGGCATAAAAAAAGGTCATAAAAATGGTCATAGTATAGTATGTCATAAAAAAAATTCATAAAATGGTCATAGTATAGTATGTCATAAAAAAGTCATAAAAATGGTCATAGAGTATGGCATAAAAAAAGTCATAAAAATGGTCATAGTATAGTATGGCATAAAAAAAGTCATAAAATGGTCATAGTATAGTATGGCATAAAAAAGTTATAAAAATGGTCATAGTATAGTATGGCATAAAAAAGTCATAAAATGGTCATAGTATAGTATGGCATAAAAAAGTTATAAAAATGGTCATAGTATAGTATGGCATAAAAAAGTTATAAAAATGGTCATAGTATAGTATGGCATAAAAAAAGTCATAAAATGGTCACGGTATAGTATGGCATAAAAAAAAGTCATAAAAATGGTCATAGTATAGTATGGCATAGAAAAAGTCATAAAATGGTCATAGTATAGTATGGCATAAAAAAGTTATAAAAATGGTCATAGTATAGTATGGCATAAAAAAGTTATAAAAATGGTCATAGTATAGTATGGCATAAAAAAAGTCATAAAATGGTCACGGTATAGTATGGCATAAAAAAAAGTCATAAAAATGGTCATAGTATAGTATGGCATAGAAAAAGTCATAAAAATGGTCATGGTATAGTATGGCATAAAAAAGTCATAAAAATGGTCACGGTATAGTATGGCATAAAAAAAGGTCATAAAAATGGTCATAGTATAGTATGTCATAAAAAAAATTCATAAAATGGTCATAGTATAGTATGTCATAAAAAAGTCATAAAAATGGTCATAGAGTATGGCATAAAAAAAGTCATAAAAATGGTCATAGTATAGTATGGCATAAAAAAAGTCATAAAATGGTCATAGTATAGTATGGCATAAAAAAGTTATAAAAATGGTCATAGTATAGTATGGCATAAAAAAGTTATAAAAATGGTCATAGTATAGTATGGCATAAAAAAAGTCATAAAATGGTCACGGTATAGTATGGCATAAAAAAAAGTCATAAAAATGGTCATAGTATAGTATGGCATAGAAAAAGTCATAAAAATGGTCATGGTATAGTATGGCATAAAAAAGTCATAAAAATGGTCACGGTATAGTATGGCATAAAAAAAGGTCATAAAAATGGTCATAGTATAGTATGTCATAAAAAAAATTCATAAAATGGTCATAGTATAGTATGTCATAAAAAAGTCATAAAAATGGTCATAGAGTATGGCATAAAAAAAGTCATAAAAATGGTCATAGTATAGTATGGCATAAAAAAAGTCATAAAATGGTCATAGTATAGTATGGCATAAAAAAGTTATAAAAATGGTCATAGTATAGTATGGCATAAAAAAGTTATAAAAATGGTCATAGTATAGTATGGCATAAAAAAAGTCATAAAATGGTCACGGTATAGTATGGCATAAAAAAAAGTCATAAAAATGGTCATAGTATAGTATGGCATAGAAAAAGTCATAAAAATGGTCATGGTATAGTATGGCATAAAAAAGTCATAAAAATGGTCACGGTATAGTATGGCATAAAAAAAGGTCATAAAAATGGTCATAGTATAGTATGTCATAAAAAAAATTCATAAAATGGTCATAGTATAGTATGTCATAAAAAAGTCATAAAAATGGTCATAGAGTATGGCATAAAAAAAGTCATAAAAATGGTCATAGTATAGTATGGCATAAAAAAAGTCATAAAATGGTCATAGTATAGTATGGCATAAAAAAGTTATAAAAATGGTCATAGTATAGTATGGCATAAAAAAGTTATAAAAATGGTCATAGTATAGTATGGCATAAAAAAAGTCATAAAATGGTCACGGTATAGTATGGCATAAAAAAAAGTCATAAAAATGGTCATAGTATAGTATGGCATAGAAAAAGTCATAAAAATGGTCATGGTATAGTATGGCATAAAAAAGTCATAAAAATGGTCACGGTATAGTATGGCATAAAAAAAGGTCATAAAAATGGTCATAGTATAGTATGTCATAAAAAAAATTCATAAAATGGTCATAGTATAGTATGTCATAAAAAAGTCATAAAAATGGTCATAGAGTATGGCATAAAAAAAGTCATAAAAATGGTCATAGTATAGTATGGCATAAAAAAAGTCATAAAATGGTCATAGTATAGTATGGCATAAAAAAGTTATAAAAATGGTCATAGTATAGTATGGCATAAAAAAGTTATAAAAATGGTCATAGTATAGTATGGCATAAAAAAAGTCATAAAATGGTCACGGTATAGTATGGCATAAAAAAAAGTCATAAAAATGGTCATAGTATAGTATGGCATAGAAAAAGTCATAAAAATGGTCATGGTATAGTATGGCATAAAAAAGTCATAAAAATGGTCACGGTATAGTATGGCATAAAAAAAGGTCATAAAAATGGTCATAGTATAGTATGTCATAAAAAAAATTCATAAAATGGTCATAGTATAGTATGTCATAAAAAAGTCATAAAAATGGTCATAGAGTATGGCATAAAAAAAGTCATAAAAATGGTCATAGTATAGTATGGCATAAAAAAAGTCATAAAATGGTCATAGTATAGTATGGCATAAAAAAGTTATAAAAATGGTCATAGTATAGTATGGCATAAAAAAGTTATAAAAATGGTCATAGTATAGTATGGCATAAAAAAAGTCATAAAATGGTCACGGTATAGTATGGCATAAAAAAAAGTCATAAAAATGGTCATAGTATAGTATGGCATAGAAAAAGTCATAAAAATGGTCATGGTATAGTATGGCATAAAAAAGTCATAAAAATGGTCACGGTATAGTATGGCATAAAAAAAGGTCATAAAAATGGTCATAGTATAGTATGTCATAAAAAAAATTCATAAAATGGTCATAGTATAGTATGTCATAAAAAAGTCATAAAAATGGTCATAGAGTATGGCATAAAAAAAGTCATAAAAATGGTCATAGTATAGTATGGCATAAAAAAAGTCATAAAATGGTCATAGTATAGTATGGCATAAAAAAGTTATAAAAATGGTCATAGTATAGTATGGCATAAAAAAGTTATAAAAATGGTCATAGTATAGTATGGCATAAAAAAAGTCATAAAATGGTCACGGTATAGTATGGCATAAAAAAAAGTCATAAAAATGGTCATAGTATAGTATGGCATAGAAAAAGTCATAAAAATGGTCATGGTATAGTATGGCATAAAAAAGTCATAAAAATGGTCACGGTATAGTATGGCATAAAAAAAGGTCATAAAAATGGTCATAGTATAGTATGTCATAAAAAAAATTCATAAAATGGTCATAGTATAGTATGTCATAAAAAAGTCATAAAAATGGTCATAGAGTATGGCATAAAAAAAGTCATAAAAATGGTCATAGTATAGTATGGCATAAAAAAAGTCATAAAATGGTCATAGTATAGTATGGCATAAAAAAGTTATAAAAATGGTCATAGTATAGTATGGCATAAAAAAGTTATAAAAATGGTCATAGTATAGTATGGCATAAAAAAAGTCATAAAATGGTCACGGTATAGTATGGCATAAAAAAAAGTCATAAAAATGGTCATAGTATAGTATGGCATAGAAAAAGTCATAAAAATGGTCATGGTATAGTATGGCATAAAAAAGTCATAAAAATGGTCACGGTATAGTATGGCATAAAAAAAGGTCATAAAAATGGTCATAGTATAGTATGTCATAAAAAAAATTCATAAAATGGTCATAGTATAGTATGTCATAAAAAAGTCATAAAAATGGTCATAGTTTAGTATGGCATAAAAAAAGTCATAAAATGGTCATAGTACAGTATGGCATAAAAAAGTTATAAAAATGGTCATAGTATAGTATGGCATAAAAAAAGTCATAAAAATGGTCATAGTATAGTATGGCATAAAAAGAGTCATAAAAATGGTCATGGTTTAGTATGGCATAAAAAAAGTCATAAAATGGTCATAGTATAGTATGGCATAAAAAAGTTATAAAAATGGCCATAGTATAGTATGGCATAAAAAAGTTATAAAAATGGTCATAGTATAGTATGGCATAAAAAAAGTCATGAAATGTCATTGTAAGTGAATAGTTTTATTTACTTAAAACACTTAAGACCTTGCACACACTGTCATACCACTTAAATGTCATATACATACCTCTGAAAAATCATTCACCTCAGCTTTACGTATAGCAGACTCTGCCATCCAGTTCCTCAGCACATATCTAGGATTTATATCTGTAAGATATTTTTTGCAGTCAGACAAAGTTGTTCTTGGTAAAAACAACCACTATATTACAGAAATCTGTATAATGTATTTCCTCCTTATTTGCTTTTCTGAAGCACAATGCCATGACTCACTATGAAATTTCAAGTTATTACATATTTCATGTTTAAGTGAATGCTAGTATGTAGATTCAATGGCTTACTTTTCATCCTGTGTTGACGATCCAAATCACTATCATTTTGTTGTCTAAGCAGAGGAACTTTTAAATCCACTCTGATACAATCCAAAAAACAACAACAAACAATGATATGGCACAAAATAGAAATGAGAGTGTAGCACATGTTTTCAAGCAGAAAAAATGACCTTTCAAATGTTTCAGAGAAACTTGGGTGACCAAACTAACTTGAGCAAGGTCTGGCATTACTGAACACCTTTTTGCTTACCTGTTGAGCCGGAGCAGGTAAATGCTGAGCCAATCAGAGAAGAGCTTGTGGGAGGACAAGTCTTCAAGAGCCCACATCTAAGACAAAAAAAAAAAGGATACCTTTGAATCAAAACTGAACTGAATAGATACACCAGTTCTGCCTATGTTTTGCTGTTGCAGCAGCAGTTTTTGTATGTGGGCTACCTGCATTTTTATAGACGAACACTAACTCACTATTCAGATAGATTGAGATAATAATTTGCAACGCTGTCATATACATGTAGTCATATGCAGCACCATTTATTCATGCTCTAAACACTTAATTAGAAGAAACACTGGATGGGCAGTGCAAATACAGCACAGCAATGAGTGCTTGGCACAGATATTAAAGGTGTTACTAACTTCCAAACTAAATCTAACTAGAATTACCATCTAACAGTTGTGTGCCTCTGCCAACCAGTCAAGTTACAATTCATGTCCATGTCTGTCTGGACTCACATGAAGCCATGACAGTAGAAAAAGCTTGAACTGTGGATGTTGCTGCAAAGAAGCTACAAATTCTAAAAACCTGGATGCTTCACACACATCTTCCCTGTGGCAGCACATAAGATCTATACAATCAGCAGTTTCAAGGTGGTTAACCAAGATTGGTGTCACCAGTTCAGTATCTGACCAAATGTTTCCCTTTCTGTTCCTGAGTTATGGAGAGTATGTATAACTGCAGCTGGGCCAAAAACAAAATTGCTAAGTTAGCGATTAGCTAGCTATGAAGTATTCCGTTGAAAGAGTGGCAGTTAAAGTTAGGATGAGGGTTATGGTAAGGCTACATCTCGTTACTTATGAAGTGAACCGTAACTTCATGAATAATAGACTATAGAGCGGATTATTTCTGCATTTGGTCTCATATTTATTCACTACAGTGTCACAATGTAGCAGGGTTCAGATAACTGTCGCATTGGTGGGTTTGTCTTGTACTAGTTGTGGGTGCAGTTTGTAGGGGCATGTTGTGTACACTAAAATCTGAATGTGTCTGCAGCTATACATATCTTAGTTACGGTGTCGAGTAATGGCTAGAAATGTGTTTCTGCAGAACATTATGATGTCACAGTGAAGTTGACCTTTGGACTTTTGGATATAAAATGACATTACTTCATCATTTTATTCTTTTATACATACATCTGAAATTTGTCTTAATGAGTATATGAATTAGCCAAAAGCAAGTTTTGTGAGTTCACAGTGACCTTTGACTTTTGACTACTAAAAGTCTCATCAGTTCATCCTTAAGTCCAAGCAGAGGTTTGTGCCAAATCTGAGTAAATTTGCTCAAGGCTTTCTTGTGACTTATGCCTACAGCCTGGCACCGGTGTAAAACCAGGATTCTAACACGTTGCTGCTTCAGCTCTACCTGTGTGAAGTTCCTGTTGTGAAGCTGCCGGGCTGAAACTTCGCTGAGCTGCCTGAAGGTCATGGTGAAGTCTGATTGTGTGTCCTCCATCATCTGGGGAGACAAACACAAATTAGATTGGTAGTTTAAAAAAAAACAATTTGTACACAGCCAGTGAACAAAAAGTTCATCTGAGTCTCCTAAATCAATTTAACTTGACCACATAGATTGACAATGCATTTTTCAGTCTGCATGCAGTTCATTGTCAATAACTTGCCTTAAGCAGGAAGGCAATTAGATAGCCATCATCCTCCTCTTCACCTAGAAGCCCCAGTTTAGCTTTAAATAGCTGATGAATCCTGAAATACGTGCATGAATAAGGCTGGAAAATTACTAGAATCATTGCTTGGATAAAGCATTAAGGACAACATACAGAATGGACAAATCATATTTCACTTTAAGCTCACCTCATCTGATAAATATCACCATATCCTTTCAAAATAATTTTAGCCCTGGAAAAAAAGGAGAAAAACACGACGTTTGTATGTACAACAGTTTGACTTTACTGGCTTTAAAGTGATTTTGCATGCGGCTTATGGACTCTTCTTTTACAAGTATTTACCACAATAAAAAAGTTAGTCATGTGCAAAGAGTTTTGTAGAAGTTGAAGTCTTTCAGTGTTGTTGCACTTTGTGCTGGAGGCAAACAGATCAATATAAGTTAGAGATGCACCGATCCACATTTTTTCACTTCCGATCCGATCCCGATACCTGAATTTGGATATTTGCCGATACCGATACTATTCCGATACCAGAGCTCTGTTTGCTTTCATATTATTATTATCATTATTGTTGATTTTATATGAGGCTGTAATAAACTCCTCTCTACAGGCAAGTATGATATGTACGTATGTATGCATGTATGTCCCAAAAGGCAACTTGAGGTAAGTATAAGGTCAGAAAAGCAGGAAATCCTGTTCACAGGAAAAATCCCATCCTGAAAACAAATATGCAACTGTAAGGGTTTCAAATTGATTGTCAATGTTTATTAAATTCCAAGACAGTGTTAAACTACTAGTGCAATATACACTATCAAAAAACAAAAAGTACATGTGATATTAATCTGAACAGCACAGATACAAATCAAGTAGATACTACTATGTAGGAGTGTTGTCACGGTACCAAAATTGGGACCCACGGTACGATACCAGTGAAAGCATCGTGGTTCTGAGTAGTATCATGACAGCGAAAATGAGGCAGATGTGCCTTTTGTCATTTATAAAAAGATAAATCACTTTTCTATAATACATCACTGATATTTCAATCGAATAAATTACTTATTGACTTATTCATACTTCAAAAACAGCATCAATAAGTGATGGGGGGGGGGGAAGAAATGTGAACAGCTCGTTTTTCCTCTGACACGTCACATACCTGTGTGCCGCCACAGTTTGGCTGTTCAGGTACTTTTGGGCAGTCATGACACCAAGAAGAGGACATTATTGGACCTGGAGTCGGACTTCTCTGTCGCCGGTAAGCCGTTCTTGCGCCGTTCTTGCGCCGTGCAGCACTATGAGCCTCCGCTGTATTTGACAGGAATACATTCCCGTCTGTGTCTGTGACCCCCGTTCAACCCACAACTCTGCTGCTGGTTGAAATCTGTACTTGCACAGCGTGCTGAATGATTTATTTTGCGTGCGCAAAACTTTTTTTAGTCGCAAAAGCGAGTAAAATGCTCGCACCGTAGAGCTCTGTAGTGGAAAACAAATCACTGTAGCATATATATAAACAAATTGAACCTACAAGTAAAAATAAATTAATAATAACTTTCACTGCTTAAAGATACTCAATAGCTCAGTTCATACCTGAAATGTCACTGGATACAAACCACTGCAGCTGCATATTGAGTGCCAGGTGGACAGCTTGCGCTTTTATTGGACTCCTCATGGACACTCACTCTCTTGCTATTGGACTTTGATCTTATCCCACAGTAGTGGTACCTGAGGTACCGTAGTACTACAGTACTCCAACATTATGGTATCATATGTACCGTCGTGTTTTAGTACTGCGGTCAGTGCAACACTACTATGTAGCAATCATCATATCATTCCAGCAGACAACGTGAAAGCACAGACACGGCTCGTAGATCGGAAATTTCTGCAGGTGGATCAGAAATTTCCGATCCATGAATTACGTTGGTATCAGAACCCGATACCGATACTGGATCGGATCGGCCCCATCCCTAATATAACTCACATATTACTTCATGTCCCCTTTATATCAACAGTTATCACCAACAGTTATCAGTGTTCTTACTCTTTCTGCTGGTTTGTAGATAGCACAGGACTGAGAGCCAGCAAGAGCTTCTCAAGGTTAAACAGTCCGACGTTGGCCTGAGCTCCTATGCTGTATCTGCCCTCATCATCTGATGTGTTGGGGACAAAATCTGCAACAATTAAAGATTTGTTTGATATTTGACGAGAACAGGACATAGAATCATTTCATTAAAACACAGGCATGCGTCATCGTACACACTGGGGTTATACGACTCCATGAAGCCAAATGGTCCGTAGTCGATGGTTATAGACAGGAGGCTGAAGTTATCTGTGTTGCACACACCTGTCATGACAACACAAGAAAGATATCAGTAGATGTTGGTGCAGATGAAAAAATGCAACCAGAACAGGTGCTCACAGGTGTCAGACATTCAAATTTAATGCCTTTAAAGATGGTTTCAAGATAATTTTAAATCAAATTTAAGACTGATTTATGTGAGTCCCATGCAGAGCTAGGTTTTATGTAGGATATATGGTTATTAGAGTGAGTTTGGTTAATCTACATTTTGCCAATAGCTAAGTCCAAGTCTAAAGTAAAAAGACAGTATATGGGTCTGTGGTAGGTTCAAAGATTTATAACATCAGAAATGTGAACTTTCACGCAGAAGAGCTTGATTTAATAAAAGATAATTTTTAAAAAAACTGATAAATCGTGTCAATTAAGACCTCACAAATTCATATTTAAGAGTAATGACTTAAGGCCTAATATTTATTTTTTAAAAATGAGACTTTAAAAAAGGACCTGCAGACGCCCTGTCTTACCATGTGCAAACCCAACTGACATCCATCTGGCAATCAGATGTGCTGTTTCATTTACAACTGTGGAATAAAACACCTGGAAAAAAATACAAAGCATGAAATGAGGAAGTATCTTGAAGAAACAAATAATTTACAGCATGCAGATACACAGTCACTACAGCATTATGTTTCTAGATAGTAAAAAGCTGCTTTAGTATTCACTAATCACACAGTATGACTGAATAAATTATCTCACTGAGGTTAGGCCATAATCAATGGCAGAAGAACACTTCTGCCAACTACATTTTTTGTTTTACCTAACTTACCAAATATTTATCTGGATCATCTTGACTGATTGAAAAAAAATATTCATCAATCACAAAGTCCACCAGCTTTCTAAAATCAACAGATCAATAACATCAAGTTAGAAGCTGCAGTAGAGGAGACAGAATGATATGAAAGCCCGAGAGGTCATGTGACCAGACTCACCTCAGGAGATTGATCTCTCTACTTTGAGCCAAAATTTCCAAAGATCCGATCCGAAACCATGACTTGGCTAACCTGAGAACAACGGCTCCTGTGAAAAGAAGAAACGACTCCAATAAAACATGTGATGTAATCAAACATCAATGGTGAAGTCAGCAATTTTAATCCAAAACACTTTTTGTCAAATCAGCAAATCATCTTCTCATGGTCTGCCAGCTGTCTGCTCTGGGCGTGCGCTGAGAAGAAATCTGGCGTTCATGAAGAGCCCTGGCTCTGTAGATGGGAAACTTTGCCTGCCAATCAGCAACATGGGGTTTTGAGCATAGGGCAGGGGAAAGGCCATGGGTGCATTAAGAGACAGGCAGTGGGAGCGAGAGGGATGGCAAATCGGGCACATGCCAACATGCTGAATCCACAGTGCATTGTGAAGATGGCTGAGAAACAGACAAACAGGTCAGATGGACAGTTTCCTGACCCACAACCTTCCTAATGTTGGTTACATGACTCTCTGTGCCTTTGTTTACTCTATAACATGGTATGGTGGTGGGGCCTCTGAAGGAGCACTGAGTGGAAGGGTATGTTTTTGGGTGTGGAGGACAAATAATCTTTCTTCAGAAGTGCTGACTCCACCCATCGACTGTATAAAAGAAGTGGACCTTGACACTGAAGTCACCAATTGGCTTGTGGACTACCATTTGAAGGTTCAAGTTTGTCATTTTGGTCAGCGCCATCTTGTTTTTTTGGAGGCAGAAGTGACCATATTTGGACAAAAGAGCAGAGCTGTGGAGGAGTAAGGGGTGGATCTGACAGACATCCTGAGGTCACTGCTGTAGTAGTGACTTGTCAATCACGAGGTAGCCAAGCCCTAAAGCATACCCTGCGTCATCATCAACTTTATCACTGACTCTAAATGAGACCATAATTTAGTACCATGCTGTGTTGAGGAAGACTTATAACTAGCTATAGAGACCATAAACTCATTCAGAAAAGTTTATTACTGATGTAATAAATTAAATGAGAAGTAGGGTCATTTCCTCATAGCCTTCTATACCTATCTATATCTATATCTATATCTATTATATATCAGACTTCTTATTGCAACCCGTGGAGTTGCCCCCAGCTGGCCACTGGAAAAACTGCAGGTTTAAGGCACTTCAGCATTGGCTTCACTGTTCAGACCCAAAGACAACTCCTTAACACCACCTTTAAATGTAACCGATAATGAGTCAAATCTTGGTGTTGTAGTATTTTCACATGCATAACTGTACCTCTCTCTGTCTTCACGTTGCCGTTGTAGAATTGATCCCTCTTCACCGGCTCGTCACTGACAATTATACTACAACAAAAGAAAGCATTATCAGAACAATAAAAGATTCACATTTCTTCCCAAACGTTTCTACTCTTTCACACACAAATAAAGAGCCTATCTTTGTTAAGGTTTTAAGTTGGCAGTTCATCCCGGTTTATCAATCTTAATGCCAAGTAATATTGATCTACACATGTTAATACAGACACTGGCCTTCTACAGAGTTCTTAAACATGTCACTGGAAAAGAGGAAATTATTTTTAACAATTTTAAACTTAATTATTTTGTGTCTGGTTTAAACTTTAAAAAAAATTGTTTTTATTGAATTTTGTGATGAGTTGAGTGTAAGTTACTTCTACATGGTCCAGCTGACAGTCATATTGATGATTTATCAACATACATTTATAGACAAAACTGCAAAGAGACTATTCAAAACTATCTGATCATTTGATATCTATTATTATTATTATTATTATTTCTATTATTATTATTGAAAAGATTATAACATAGCATACATAGCAAATGTTAACTCCGTTTGTTGCCTTTCATCCATCACCTGTCCCTCTCACCTGGCAGCCCTGCTGGTTGGAATACCCAGGAAATGCATGGCTTCACTGCACAGGAACTCCCTTACAGAAGAGCGGATCACAGCTCGACCATCTCCTGACCTGTGTGAACATTTTCAAATTGACATTTCAGATTAAACACAGTTGCCTCTTGCTGCCATTCAGTATCACAGACATGCATTTTTTTTCCAAAGTGAAACAAGAAAAAAGAGGAAAAGGAAGAAAAACAAAAAAAGGGTTTGCCAATAAACATACCTTGAATAAGGCGTCTTGCCAGAGCCTTTAAGCTGCAGTTCCCATACTTCTCCTCTCCTGTGGGACATGTCATAAGGAAAATAAGTCACAGCTTTAACTGGTGATACACCTTGAATATACAGTACATTGAATATATTAGGAACCTAATTCAAAAATATTCTCACCTGTTGGTATACTGACCAAGGGAATGTGCTCGACCATCGCCCAGCTGACCTGCCCAGTACCCAAACTGATGGAGGAGAAATTCATCTGTAAATTTCACTGTCACCAACTGTGATCAGATCTGTTGAACATGATGTACACTGTCATTTTTATCTATTTCAAGTTTTCTTAACTTTGTTAATTAACTTGTATTTGGCTGAATTTAGTGACATATCTGATGAAATCCAATAAAAAAGACAGTGTATACCTGTTTTTTTTTTAATCACAAAGGAAATGTTGTTAATGTAACTAACTAAATGTTAGTAGTGTTGAGTTTATACACAATAAAAGCATGCCAGTAAGAGCACAACAAACAGAAAACTAATTCATCATTACCTGATGACCTCCATATCTGTGAGCAAGTGGTACAGATCCTGACAGCCGTCTGCCACCGCTTGCGTAATGCAGGAAATCATCTGACTGAGTTACAGCCACGTCTAAATCTAAAATCCCCTCGATGACGTCCTGTTGAAACAAATTTACGTTTCACATTCACATTTCACTGCAAAGACTCTCTTGCACTTCTGATGATACTGTATTGTCACCTTAGAAGCTGCCGCCAGTCTTAACCGGCCTTTCAGTGGGGTTGGAATGGATCTGGAGAATATGCAGTTCTTTACAGAGCGAGCAAAATTGCCATCAACCTCGTCAATCGGAAATGCTTCTGCAGAGAGGACAGAAAGGATTGAACTAGGACAATATTACTGTGAACTTTTCTTGTATTGACCCAAACAGACACAAATCACTTTTTACCTATTAGCTTCTTGCAGGACACTCTGAATTGGTCCAGGTCCTTTAAAAGGTTTGAAACACTAATGTTCCACCTGGATTTGACAGTGTGCGGCGACAGCTGGTTGTCCGATGCTGTACTGTCATGACTATGGCAGTCACTGTCAGTACTTTGACAGAACTCCAGAACATGTACAGATGTGAAGCTGGATGCTGCTACCAGAGCAAAGGCTAATACTTTGTAGGAGCTCTGCATGTTGCAGACACAGCAACTGCCTTGAATGTACCTAGCTAAAAGCACTGAAGTAGTTGTAGATTGGAAAATAAGTTAATTATGATTTCCAGCTGGTTATCATAATGCACACAGCACTGGGGGAGGAAGTACTCTAATCCTATAGTCATACTACAGTGTAGATTACTCTATCCTGCATTCAAAACACTCCTTTGACTTCAGTAAAAGTAATATCAGCTAAACTGAGCTAGTTAAAGCACCAGACATTAACATATTATGTAGGTTTTTACAGTCATGTAAAGGCAATAACAAAAACAGCATTTTATAACCTCTAATACTTAGTCAAAATCAGGGTCCTTTAAAAAAACAAGACTTGGAAAAAGTGATTCATGCTTTCATATCAAGCAAAGTTAATTACTACAACAGACTTCTGACAGGACTTCCAATAAAGACCATCAGGCACCTACAACCTTTGAGTAGGTTGTAAGCTGCAAGAGTTCTCCTAAAACCAAAAGGACAGCTCACATCCCCTCAGTTCTCAAATCTCTACACTGGTTGCCAGAGTTTATTTTAAAGTCCTGTTATTAAATTAAAAAATCTCCACAAGGAGTTGGTTCTAAATGTGTAACTGACTTGCTTGAGCAATACAAGCCTGCGAGACCTCTCAGATTACTTGGGAGTGCTCTGCTGATGGTGCCTAAGGCAAAATCTAAACAAGGACAAGCTGCCTTTATTTATTATGTAACACAGCGATGGAAGCATTGTCTGATGGTCTGCCACAACCACTGCAGTTTTAAATACAAACTAAAACATTATTCTTGAGCGCTTTTAACAAGCTTATTCTTTCACTGTTTTATCTCTTTCTCTCTTTGTTATTTGTATTGTTTTAACTTTGAATTGTTCTTTTGTATGATGTTGTTTTTAACTTCTTTGTACAGCACTTCAAACCTGCCTAATGTGCTTTATAAATAAAACTGCCTTGCCTTATTTGGGTAGTTAATCTATGCAACTACATCATAATTTATGTATTGGTCATGCTGTGTGTAAACTCTGAACCTGCAAAATAACAAATGACAAGAGCTGTCAAATACATGCAATAGTAGTAAAGCATTACACTCTGAAATGTACTGCAGTACAAGTGTGAGGTGACATTAAATAGAAATACTCACGCAAAGTAAAAGCACCTCAAATTGTATTCTAGTATTATGCACAATTGTCCTTTCCATCACTGGCAAACAGTCCCCTATGTCAACACTTCAGTTATGCTTTAGGCTAACGTTAGTTAGTTGTCATGAAAAGACCCTAAATTTAGAGTATTTTTCTAAGTTTTAAAGTAATAACTAAAAAAACAACGACAAAACTCAACCAATTGTTTATTTCTAACCGAAGTCTGTAAATTAAAAGGTAGGTTTATGCGACATTACGTCCCAAAATATGGTTTAAGGCGGTAAACTGTTAGGGAATACAAGCAAAGTTGGCTACAACTAGCTAGCTGTTAGCAACCCAGCTACAGTGCTAGCCCCAAACACTTCACTACTATTTTCGCGGAAACCTAACATAAGATAAATTTTATATTTTCAGTTTAAAGAGATACAACCTTAGTTTACATGTAGCGCTGCATTCCTAATAAAATGTTGCCTAATTTCGAAGAAATTCATTGAAGTTTGTGTTAACTCTCTGCCATATATGGTAAGCGTAATTCCGTAGCGTAAAACGTCATCAACCGTCGCCCGGTCATCCGCTTCCGGTTCCGCTGAAATATATAACCTGTCCCGATGCCCGCTCCCGGAGAACATGGCGTGCCCATGGTTAAGGCAGTGCTGGCGGCTTTCTGTAAACTGTACAGGCACGAGTGTATTTGAAACCTTGTGGCATTCTAATGGCAGGTCCGTGTCGTTCTCCGCGTCCTCTTTAGGACGGACATCCTGGAGCTCCGGGGCGGGGAACGAGGTGAGTTCACGGGGCACACGGGACAGGCAGTGCTGTCAAACCCAGGAAGGTCACCGCGTAGCTGTCAGCCAGCCCTGATGAATGGTGCTCATCTCTCAATAATGGGGTAGATTGCTTCACTGCCTGTGAATTTTCCTGGCAATGCAACATGAACTGGTATTTTTCTTCTGCAAGAGTGTCACGTGTTTTGTAAGAATTTCGAAAATGTCGACTTGTTGCTGCCTGTTGGTGAGTGTGTTGGGTCGTGCAGAGCTTCCTCTGCACATGTAAAGGTCAAGACCTGCTCCTGATGTTAGAGTAATTAGCCTGAGCCCTGTCCTTTACTCTGCTAGCTGTCCAGCCAAGTGTAGCCAATGTCTTGTCTTGTCCCTTTAGATTTTATTATCATTCATTCATTCATTCATTCATGTGTCATTGGCTCAAGTGTGTTCCTTCAGCTTCCTTTACACTATTTATTTTTGCTCACAATTTAGAAAACATGACTTATCATTTGTAGTAATAATAATAGTTGTAAAAATAATTAATAATAGATATGAATAAATAAAACTTGTATGTAGGTACATAACAGATAAATGTTTATGTGCACCTGTCTCCCTTCAGCTTGTTGTCCTTGGTTTTAGCTGTATGTCTGTGTCTATCTTCGTGTAAGTTGGAACTGTGTGTGAGCACATTGAGAGTAGGGTTGCAGCAATATACTGGTTTTAGGATGTACGGTGAAATAAAAGTTGATTGTTATCATATCGTGTACATTTGGTTATGCATGATATTTAAAAAAAAAAAAAATGCAACTGGATGGAGAATGTCCCCTTTATTTTTGTTATTATCTAAAGAGACATTTTTCACACATACTTGTATTTTCAGTTTCAATTGTTCAACCAACAGTAACTCTTCTGTGTTCATTCCTTAAGGTTCATTCTGACTAGGGCTGCAACGATTAGTCGACAGATCAATGACTTATCAACTATTAAAATAATTGGTGACTATTTTAGTTGTCGACTAATCAGTTTGAGTCATTTTACATAGAAACGCACTATAAAAGTGCCCCAAAATACTCTTACTGCAGCTTCTTACAGTCAGATATTGGCAGCTTTACACACTCCCCCATGACGGTGAACTAAAACCGTTTGGCGTGAGTACGAAACAAGACAATAGATGACATAATTTTGGGATTTGGGAGAGACAGACCCGACATTTTTCAACATTGTAACACATTTTTCGACAAAATGATTAGAAATAATCGACAGATTAGTCGACAAGTAAAATAATCGTTAGTTGCAGCCCTAATTCTGACTGATCATAATATAAATTCTGTAACACCGTGATAACATGAAACCACAATATTTTCTGAAATAGTCATACTGGCAAAAAAAAAAAAAAACCATCATACCGATGCAACCTTAATTGAGAGCGGCTTGAAACCAGAGTCAGTCTCATCTTATGCATACATATACTTAGCCAATAATGCTTAATCTGATTCCCATAACAAAACAGTTACTTTCATAGATGCTAAAAAGAGTAAAAACTACAAAATGTCCCCTCCACTGTCCACAAAAAAATGAAGCAGAAATCTAAAATCAGGATCTCAGATGTTTTTATTAATCTTTTGTAATTTGCACGAATACCTTTTGATCGTTTGGCAACCTGTTCAGGGTGTACCCTGCTCTTGCCCAGTGTTAGCTGGGATAGGCTCCAGCCTCCTGCAGCCCTGTACTAGGATAAGTGGTTACGGATAATGAATGAATGACTGAATGTAGTTTGCATGCTGTATTATTGCAGTTAACTGTTCAAAGTTGCTCGCTGTGAATTACATGCACTGACAGGAGGGTCTACATATGTTTAAAAGCCTTCTCCAAGCTGCCAGGAATAAAATTCTTGGAGAAGCTCTGTTGGCTTAACAGTATTTAAATATATAAAGTCTAAAATCTTTTGGTGTCATGTGCTTTTGTTCTTTCAGGGGCATCCGTCGGCACTATCAACACAGATAAACCCCCAAACTTTAAACTTTACCACATGTCTCACCAGGTAAGTTGTCCTAACTCAAGGCTTTGCACTGCAACCAAACTATTTACTGAATTCTTCACATATTATTTCAACAGCCACCTCACACTGACAAACTGGTTTTAGCACACCAGCAATTTTGGTTAGAATTGACACAAACAGAGTGTTGTACCACAGTGATCAAGATATAAGTAATTTCTAATAAGATCTTCCACTTATATCTTTAAATAACTTTGTGCGTATTTTCTGTATACAGTATGTTTCTGATTTCACAGCTTCACTTTTTGTTGTTGCCTCTCTCTGCAGACACAAGTCACGGTTGCTGAACCCCAAACTACAATCATGCTGCTGCAGAAAGAGCGTACACAGTGATGCAAAGCCGAAGGACCCCTTCACATTAGCCCAGAAAGATTTAACAAATTTATATGATGACATCAGAAAGGTACGTTTTTCCATAACAGCTCAGTAAACAGACTATGATAGAGCCAAATGAAATAATATTGGTTAGAAACTAACAGAAGACTGCCATGTGATTTTTTGGCAAATGTATTTGCTGATTATGATGAAAATAAAAGTGTTATCACTCTGCCTGACAGGAAATGTTTGTACCCAAAGAAGAGCTGAAGTCTCTGCTTGACTACTACTTTGATGGCAAAGGCAAAGCCATCCGACCAATGATAGTTGTCCTAATGGCCCGGGCGCTCAACATCCACAGCAACAGATCTGGGTAAAATCTGATCACTCCACACTTTCATATTTCAAAAACAAAATATACATATATTACAAAATATTGCATTTTTTTCCATTTACTGCTACTGTTAATCCAAAGTGACCTGTAGTACAGAGTAAATGTGCATCACACCCTGTTGTAACTTTTGAATTATTATATGAAGCATAATCAAGGGTTTTATGTCATATCATTCACTGGAATTTGTTAACTGTTCTTGTCCTCTGTAGAGATCTGATCCCAGGTCAGAGGGCCATTGCTATGATCACCGAAATGATTCACACTGCCAGCCTGGTGCATGACGACGTTATAGACGGATCCGATAAACGAAGGGGAAAAAGAACAATCAATGAAGTGTGGGGTGAAAAAAAGGTTAGGGAAATAAAATCGGTTTAAAGACCTTTCCCCTTTTCTCCTCCCTAATATAATATTTTCTATGACTATATACATTTTTAAGGATATGAATATAATCTGTTTTCTCTCTTCCAGGCAATCTTAGCTGGAGATTTCATCATCTCAGCTGCCTCTATAGCCATGGCTCGAGTCGGTAACAACACAGTGGTGAAAGTGTTCTCCCAGGTGATAGAGGACCTGGTGCGAGGTACAGCAGTCAAATTATTCAGTGTTTTTTGCCATATCAGTCAGTAATAGTCTTTATTACAGTTCGCCCCAAAATCAGAAATATACATTTTTCCTCTTACCTGTAGTGCTATTTATTAATTTAGATTGGTTTGGTGTGAGTTGCTGAGTGTTGGTGATATCGGCCGTAGAGATGTCTGCCTTCTCTGTAATACAAAGGAACCAGATGGCTTTCGGCTTGTGGTGCTCAAAAAAAAAATCCACAGCAATGTCTCTTTCCAGAAATCATGACACGGTTACTCAAGATAATCCACAGACCTTGTTGTGAGCAGTTAAATGAACGAACTATTTTCTTTCTACCCAACCCGCCAACTGTTTCACTGTGCAGAAGGAAGAGTGCATCTACTCATGGATGAGAGGCTAGTGCTCATAATAGTGCAAGATGTAAACATTAACGGCATCCTTCATGGTTGAGTTGTAACATTAGCTAGCTCGGTGGTGCTAGGTGAGATAGCAGTAGATGCATTCTTCCTTCTGCTCAGTAATATGGTTGGCAGGTATAGCTTGGTTGAAAGAAAATAGTTCCTACATGAAACTGCTCACAACAAGGTCTGTGGATTATCTTGAGTAACCAGGGGCCTCATTTATAAAGCTTGCTTACGCACAAAACGGGGCTTGAAAGTGGCATACGCCACTTCCCACACAAAGGTTGTGATTTATAAAAATAAACTTGGCGGGAGAATGTGCGCACCTGTAAGCAAACTCTGAGTCATGCGTGCGCACATTTTGGAGACACTGGGAAGTGGTGATGTAGACAGCGAGGTGGAGAAGTGGAGTCAGATTTTTATTGATGTCTCACACAAATTTAATGTCACGCTATATCCACCTTAGATCCACATTATCATTGAAATTAAATCCAGCAGCCTTATTTTGCGCTTGGAGTGAGTGATAATTGTTTCATAAAAACGTTGTAAAATCCAACTCAAATCCTGAATTGAAATTCTTTCTAAATACGTATTTAATCCGCACTGCCTCTAACGTCTCATTGTCCACTCTGTGAGCGCAGGAGGGGGAGAGGATGACGCGACTGCATGGAATATATTTATTTATTTATTTAGCTAAATATTTCCAGTGCATTTATCATGTCTCGAAATACAGCCATTAAGCACAACCGTTACACTCATTTCATCAGCCCTACTTAGACATTTGCTGTTCATGACAAAACCGGCATGAAGAAACGTGTTCGCCTATTACACTTTCATCTTTGAATTGTATTTCAAATTACACGTTATATTTTGGGACAGGGATACCACTGGTTCATGCTGTAATTCAGGCCGGGTGTCTGATCACACTAATTGCCATAAACATATAAATACTGCGGTGACCCTCGTGCGTAATTGCGCAAGATGGCACTGGCACATACTCCTTTTTGCCTCCCACTTTAATAAATGTGATTCTTTATGTCGCACATCAATGTCAAACATCCTCAAATTTAAAAGCAACACATTAACTACATGTTGGTAAAGGAGTAGAAATATTTGGTGTACCTTTAGATCAGACCACTTTTTTTTTTTCTCTGTCACTGTCCGTGCAGTCCCACAGACACATCAGCTGACAGCATTAGCAGTGTTGATGTGTTGCCACTTTTTTTGCTTTATTAGTGATCCTGATGCTTTGGCCACCAAATAAAATCTTTCTTCAGTCCTCCACCTCCCGTTAAAGGGTCTCGAGCTCAGTCTTGGAGAAATTCCGTTTTTGGTTCGTTTCTCACACCTGTCGCTGTGACTCACAACGAGAGAACACTGGCATGCTGGCTTATTTATATGCAGATCGCATTCATGAGGTGATTTGCATGACCATTTATGGTTGAACTAGGGTGTGTAGAGCGGAATATGAGGCGGATCTGGGTGCGCACAACTCCAGGAGGTCTGTGATTTATAAAGAGAACATTGCGTGCAAGTGTGCATGCGCATGGTTTTATAAATCTGATTATTTTTTGGCACACGCCATTTTCAGCTTTTGGGCGCATGTCAACTTTTAGTATGAATCCTAAGCACTCTTTTATAAATGAGGCCCCAGGTCATGATTTCTGGAAAGAGACACTGATGAGTTTTTCAAACATTTTTTTGGCGCTTTGAGCACCACAAGCCGAGTGCCATCCAGTTCCTCTAAATTCCAGAGAAGGCAGACATGGTTGTTATCGCCAACACTCTGCAACCCACACCAAAACAATAAAGAGCACTACAGGTAAGAGGAAGAATATGTATGTTGGGTTTTTGGGATGAGCTGTCCCTTCAAGGTTGCACCTAAAGATATACTAAGCTGTTTTTAATCACAATGGAAGCAGTAACATGTAGCAATATCTGTAAAAAAGCATTTGAACTTCAGACTGTCAGAACCCAAAATCTGCTTATATGTCCATTAACAAACTTCTTTATCCAATGTTTGTTTATTGTGCTTCCAGGTGAATTCATGCAGCTGGGCTCCAAAGAGAACGAGAATGAGCGATTTAAACACTACCTCGAGAAAACCTTCAAGAAGACGGCGAGTCTTATTGCAAACAGCTGTAAAGCAGTATGTACGTTCTGTTTCCACACAAATATCTCAGCGTTGGAGAAAAGCCTTGGCTTCTACACCAACTGTTTTTTTGTTGACTGTCTCCTCTCTTTATTTCAAGGTATGCGTTCTAGTAAATTCTGATCCTGAAGTTCATGAAATAGCCTACCAGTATGGGAAGAATGTTGGCATTGCATTTCAGGTAGGTTACTCATTACCAGCTTATTCTATTTAATGTCTTTATGTCTTGTGCTGCTGTGATACTTGAATTCCCCTCTGGGGATCAATAAACAGGGTTCCTACGAAAGTATGGAAATAAATTTGATCAATTTCCAGGTTTTAAAAAGTATGGAAATGAAAAATAAAGTATGGAAAAATATTTATGTTTCCAGACTATTACCACTGTTCTAAAATACTGTTTTCTAAAATAGAAAATTAGGTATTTCCAAAAATAATTTAATCAGTTCGGATCGTGTTTTATGCCGGGCCAAGCACAGTTTGTGTGAGAGCAAATGTCTCAGAAAACATCCCGCCCCTTTTACCTGATTGACAAGTGGTATGTCCAGTCCGCTGCCCCATGACCCTCCTCCAGCCCCCCCAGGTATCAAGTTTCACTCCAACACTGCACCTTCGACAAGAAGACGAGTTTCACGTGGTTCACAGTGGGTAGATGCAAGTTTTTGGATGGATGGCTTGACAATACATATATAAATACTGGGTGGCCAAGGATTCCCAATTCACACACAGAGCTAGATGCAAGCTTTGTGTGAAATCGTTTGACATCGCCAACATGGGGGAGAAGGCCATTCTGAGCCACATGAAAGGAAAAAACACACACGTCTCGTTACGGCATCGCTTGCACCCAGAGTCCCAACCTTTTTGCCTCAGCCCAGACATTGAACTTACCTGAGTTTTTATTTGCATGCCATTATGGTACTTGGCTACAATCGCCTATTAAGAATAATTAAATATGATACACTGATATATTTACTCAGATGTCGCATATTCTCTGAAAAAAAAACCCCCAAAAAACGCTGTGAAGTCTGGAAATTAGGGTATGGAAAAGTATGGAATTTTGAAATTCCAAATGTGTAGGAACCCTGAATAAAGTATATCTTATCTGTAGTTCTATTTAATAAGGGACACCCAGAGCTCCAATAAAAAAAAGACAAGAATCCCTTTTACTAGAAGGACATCCTACATTTGTCTTTTATCCAGAACATAATAGTGTGTAGAATTAAACTATGTCTAAATGATTCTGTGGGTTAATTTGTCCTGTAGCTGGTGGATGATGTCTTAGACTTCACATCAGGAGCTGGTCACCTGGGGAAGCCCTCGGCTGCAGATCTCAAACTGGGCTTGGCCACTGGACCGGTCCTGTTTGCTTGTCAACAGGTGAGATTAGCATTTAGTTTGATCAGATGTGTGTATGTTTTCATATAAAATGTGCGTCTACATCTCAAGTGGGTACGGTCTTTACCTCATTTTCTTTGTCTTTGCAGTTTCCTGAGCTCCATGCAATGATCATGAGACGTTTCAGCTCTAAAGGAGACGTAGATCGAGCCTGGCAGTACGTCCTTCAGGTATGACCAGTAACACACTGCAAACTAAATTTAAATTTGCTGGTTAAATCAACTAAATGTAAAGCCCTAAAGGGTCTTAAATACAAGTCTCTACCTCAACAAGACTTCGCCTTCATGAGACATTTGTATGATAAATTAGGGAACATAAAGATTGAAATTAAGGTTGTGAACGTTGTGACCAAAACAAGATACTAAAACCTTACCTAAGCCTTTCAGTTGGTGATGGAGTGGGGGGTTAATTTGCATAGAGCTCTTTTTGAGGGGTTGCTGATGCCAAGACTGATATACATATTTGCATGATTAACAGTACAGCTCAGTGCTCTCTACTCAAGCAGCTGAGAGTCACAAAATGCTCCGTAAATGCAATCAGGGGAATGTGTTTAACTGAAAGTGAAGTACAGGGTTCGCACACATTTTTACCACTGAATTTCAAAACTTTTCCATATTTTACCTATCAGTACATATCGACTGACTATTTGAAACGGTTTCAAAATGAATTTTCTGCAGTATCGATACACTGATACTGGCTGCACTTTCTTGCCCTCTTATTGTTAATGTTTCCTACAGTCATACTGCTGCTCTCTGCCACTCTAAGAAAAAACAATGCGGCGTTGGCATGTTACAGCCAAATGTCAAATGTTTGGCTGCAGATATACAGCCAGTGCAGCCAGGGTCTTCCTCTTTCTTGAGCCATGTATTATTTGTCGTTTGAAAGCCATACATTATTAACATGCACTTCCCAGGCTTTTGATGATAAGCAAACTGCTAGAGCTTGCTAACTTTACTCGCTTGTTGGATATTTCCTTTGATGTGCATCATCCTTCATTTAGACTGCATGTCTTTTGGACTGTGGGAGGAAGCTGGATCACCCGGAGAAAACCCACGCTGACACGGGGAGAACATGCAAACTACCGAATAGTTCGAATCCCACACCCTAGGTTCGAACCAGGAACCCTCTTGCTGTGAGGCAGCAATGCTAACCACTGTGCCGCCCCCATGGAACATATTTTGCCTAATGTTAGACAAGTTTTGGGATTTTTATGAACATTTTGAACAATATCCAAAAGAATGTATAATCAAATTTGTCCAATACATTCTGCTAATTCAATAATAGTGTAATTTCTAACCTCAATGTAATACTTTGAAAGATATCGATATTCAGTACCATTGTCGATACCACAAAGAAAGGCTGACAATGAGGGCTTTAAATGTAAAATTGTTATTAAAACATAAATACAACAAGGTGATAACATCACGACTGTATTGACACCTTTACAAATATTCAGAATCAATCGGACACCACCAGGAATTTCATGACCGTGGGAACCCTGGAAGCAGAACTTTGCCAGCACAGAAAATAAATGTTCAGTAGATAATGTGACAGCCCTTTCTTCTTCTTCTGTTTCAGAGCGACGGTGTGCAACAGACCAAATACCTGGCCGAGCGCTACGGTCAAGAAGCCATCAGGCAGATCAGTATGCTCCAGCCGTCGGCAGAGAGAGACGCCCTCATCAGGCTTACTGAGATGGTGCTTACCAGAGACAAGTGAACCTCCACTGCCGGGCTTCACTTCAGGCAGCTACGTGTGGAAAATCAACTCACCTACATCCAGTATCAGCAGTGATGGTTTGGAAAAGAACATTAAAAACCTAAATGAATGGATGTTGCTGTAAACTGCAAATCCAGCTCCTCACTGCATTCAGTACTGTAACTGCAACAGCCTCTCATTCTTAAAACTGGCCAACTGACTGACAGTACATGCTAGTGTTGAGCTGTGGCGGCTTTGCAAAATCTGTGTAATTCCAAATGAAATGGAAGTGATACACTGTCATTGGTGTGTTTGTTTGGATCTGTGTGATTTGCTTTCAAGATCCGTCCACACCTCAGAGGCCAAACAGTCACGTGTCTTTTGGACTTATAAAATGTTAAAAGGTTACTTAATGCAACAACAAAGGCCTTAACAACTACAATGACTGTGTACTCAATAAACCTACAGTTATGCTTTTTTTTATTTAAACCAAGTCTTCGCTCTTCTTTGATTCCCTTAAAGTGACCACACATGCATGTTGTACATAGAATTGTTTATTATAAAAGACTGTACATTAATTTTTCAATCAACATATTATATGTACAAATGAAGGGCGGACAAAGATAGATTTCAATATTTCTACCCATGAAATTGAGCTGGAACATGTTTTATTATTGGAGATTTCTAAAGCAAACGGGCAAAATATCAAGGCATAAGCTGCAGTATCCTGAAATGATAAATGCTCAAAAATTAGGTCATGTTAGATGGTACGTTCGAGGGTCAACAGAAAACAAAAGTGTCATTAAGATGATTCCTAGACCTGAGTGACAGCTGATATTGATTGGCTGATTTTTACTCGAGTTAAAATATGTACACCTGTGCAGCCCAGAGGATTTCATGTTCAGAGCATTCAACATGGTCCTTGAACCCAGAGCAGGTTATTGTTGCTTTGTGAAGGCTGAGGAGGTATTAGAGTTGTTTGTTGGTCTACATTACATCTGAATTGTCTCATGGCAGTGTCAGGCACAGCAATTCAAGCCCACTTATCACTGCACGCTATCACTGCTGTCTATCAGAAGCATAGTCCGTTATTGCCAGTTACCAATGGATCCTACAGATTTGATGTAGATTAGTATAAAGTTAGTAACAGTGATGTGACATAATCTTTAAATGCTTGATAATAAGCCAAAAATGGAATGTGTCCTCGTGCTTCAAAACAGATCCAAAGGCATGAAAAAGTAAATTCCATTTAATTTTCATGATTTTAAAGGAATACTCCACCTCCCTTATGATTATTTGTATATCAGTTACTCACCCAAAGTTAATGCTGAATTCAAAAAGAAAGCTTGGTTTTTCTGCATACCTTCATGGTAAGCGAAGAATCCAGAAACAGAAAATTCTTGATGAACTGAAGTCATAGGAGTCCACATTTAAAAACAATGAAACTAGATCAAAACATTTACAAACTTTCACACAACTTGTACTGCATCATTTATCCAGTCATACACTCAGTTCTTCTCAAACACATGTATTTTCTCTCAAACTTAAGTATTTAGTTTCACTTTCTGTTTTAAAGCCAGACTCCATTGACAAAAATAGTGATTTTTATTTCACTGAACACAGGAGCTTCTGGTCTACCACTGTCTCTATCCCTTGTTTGTTTTTGTATTTTTTGTGACTTTGGTGTTTTATGGGGTTAGTTAGGTTTCACCAAAGTCACACAATAACAGAAATAAACTACCAATTAATAAGGTAGCTCCTGTGTTCAGCGAGGTTAAATTACTGTTTTTGTCAATGGAGTCTGGCATTGCACACAGCATCGGTAAGTTTCATTTTCAATTCAGTGTTAAATAGTAAGATTTTAGCAAAAATGCATGTGTTTGGGAATTTTTTAACAGGACTGTATAAATGAGACTTGGATTACACTGCAAGAGTTGTGTGAGAGTTTGTTAACAGACGTTTTAATATAGTTTTGGTGTTGTTAAACGTGGACCCCTATGACTTCAGTCATCAAGAATTTTCTCAGTTGTTGGATTCCTTCACTTGAAGCGTGTGAGAAAAAGGTTTTCTTCACAAATTTAATGTAACATGGGTGGAATAACTGATATACAAATGTTCATTTCGGGTGTGAGGTATTCCTTGAAGTTAAGATGCAAATTGGCATTTAGAGGGTGAGACTGTGGGGAAGCCTGAAATTTACTTCAGAGTCTATAAAGTTCAGTGATTTTAACAGTGTAATAAAAATTAAAAAGGTGAATACATTTACAACATAATGGAAGCATAATGGCAATAAACTTAAGATTACATTATATCTCTTAAAATTTTGCATGCTTAAACGCCAAGACTGATCTTCAGGAGTATTTGTTTGTCTTTGAAATACCATACACAGTACTTAAATTTGTAAAATTATTGACAGGCCATCTTATTTTACGAATGAGCCTGATGGAGTCGAGGAGGGCGCCACTAATGAAAACTATCATATAATTGACATTCACTGAATTCACATTACAGAAACCCGAGTGGCTGCAGCTCACATTATATACAACTGACAGTACAAACACTTCGACTGAAGGTGTTTACATGACGTTAACATTTAATTTGTTCCATCACACCTAATACTCAAAGGATTCAGCTCTGAATCCCTAATAATTTTTGTCTAGGCAAGATGATGTCGTACATCCTTCAGCTGTGTGACCATCGTCTTTGAATTCAACCGACGTGAGCACGTGCAGTCCAATTCTTTAGAAACTTTGCTTTTTTTTTTTTTTTTCTTTACATATTTCATAAATGTCCCCAACCCGCCCATATAACACCAAAATAAACTAAATAGATATTACTTTTCATTTTATTTGCAATCAGTAAGGGAAAGAACATTCTGTCATATCAAAAGGGGATCATACAGTTATGTCTAGATGCGTCTCAGGAGTCAAGATTGCGGCGGTCAGTCTCTCAGTGGATTATGATATGACTGAATAAATAGGCTTTACTGTTACTGCAGGTCCCTTCAGTCGGCGTAGTGCATGATGGACTCAACGTAGTTGCCAGGAAACAGTCCGGTGATGCCGTTGGAGACGCCCTCAAACCAACCGTCGTCATTCTTCTTGATGACGTAAATGATTGCCCCTTCCATGAAAGACAACTCGTCGTCTTTGTCCTTGGTGTAGTCATAGATGGCCACCACTGAAAACAGGAAAAGAGATGTTTATATCAGTAGGGTGTATCCAATCTAAGACTACTGGAAAATGGTTTGTGCTCCAACCTTTCTCGACGTAGTTCTTGGGTGCCCACTGTGGGTCTCCATCAGCGTAGGGGTCGCTGTACTGCACGACAGCAGCATCCTCCTCCTCGTAATCAACTGGAGGAGGGGGTGGAGGTGGAGGAGAGTCGTCAAACATGGGTATGTCATCTGGAGGTGGAGGGGGAGGTGGAGTAGGAGTATCTGCAACTGTTGAACAGACACAACAAATTAGAATTTCCTCATCAGGTTCAAAACGTAAAGGATCACTGGTCAACGTGAGCCTGGTGCTGGAGAGCGCGGCGGCTGAATCATGCAGAATCAATGATCGGACATGCAGAAGAGTGTGCATATAAGATACATGAATATTAAATGATCATGCAGGCTGCATCACTGTTAGGACTTCCCATAGATCACTTAACATGATGATACACTGTATGTTTAAGCCACCTACAGGAATAATTCAGATCTTTTGAAGTAGGGTTGTATGAGGTACTTATCCATAGTCAGTCTATAGTCATTATGTCAGTCAGCATGCCCCTGTTTGGAGAAGCAGACAGGAGTACTGACACAAAAGATAAGCAATGTACTGCCGTGAATGGGGGCAGTAGCAAAACACATTTAAGCCACCTAAATAGTTCAACATCACAGGGTTTCCACGTTCATGGAAAATTTGTAAATCTCAATTTCCAGGCCTGGAAAAGTCATGGATTTTTCCTTTTGTGTAATTAAATTATGTAAGTAATCTTCTCTGGATAACCATCCCAAGTAATTTTACATAACGACCAAAAGGTTTTCTATAGCTTTAATGTGACGTTCAGTTTACCATCATGTACACTGTTTTTTCCCCCACGTTCTGTTGCTCCCTCCATGTATGCTAGCTAACTTGAAATTTGTTTGAATAAAGTTTGAATGATAGGTCTGACTACAGCCAGGAAAATGGGTTAAGAAAATAATGTAACCTGTAGGGTCAGGAATCCCAAAGTTTCCATACCTAAGCCCCACAACTAACTTTTCAAGTGTTGCGCTTTTTTGAGATGAAGCAACTGACATGGGCAGCCACGGGCGTTCTGTTGTCACTCAGAGTGCCAATGTGCACTTTAGTTTCATTTTAACTACTCTGAAAGTAAAGTTACTAGCTTGAAGGTACAAGGCATTCTTCCTCACGAACAAATTAACTGATCGACCAAACTGTCAGCTGTTACTCCCCCACTCTGAGAGCTCTAGACCGCCTCCAATAATATAAATACCATTTCGAGTAAAGTAGACTACACAGTTCTGTTCCTATTCTACATTGTAAATGGTCATGGACATTTTATTACGGGTCTTTGAAAAGTAATGAAAAGGCTTTAAAATTATTGTCCATTAAATATGTGGGAACCCTGATACAATTTAAGTGTTCGCTATGTTTAAAATATATTTTCACTGCGGAGTGGTTACAACACATGCCATATAACTGCGACCATAACTGTAACTAGGCTCTATTTCTCGGCCTTGGGACATTTGTTGCATGCCATACCTCTCTATCTCTCTTCCCCAAGTCCTGTGTCACATAAAAGTGCAAATACCCCCCAGTTATATTGCTTCAGACTCTATTAATAATAAACTGTAATTTAATGTCTCAGAACACTGGAGCTGCTGGTCTACCGCTGCCTCCATCAGTTAATTTGTTTTTGTTATCATGTGACTTTGGCATTTAAACAGGTTAGTTCAGATTCAACAAAGTCACACAATAACACAAACAAACAATCTAATTTAACTGGTCGAGGCAGCAGTAGACTCCTGTGTTCTGTGAGGTAAAATTACTAGTTTTCTCATTGCAGTCTGGTGGCTTTAAGAGAGCAATAAAGCGGCTCTAGTTCCCTGCTGGAGAGAGCTGTCTGACAGAAAGGTAAAACAGTGAAAATATTCTCAATAAAGCGTACACTTATGATTTTTTAGGCGGCCAAAATACATTAAGCTGCCCCCGTCCACAGCAGCACATTGCTTATATTCCATGGCGGTACTCCTGCCTGCTTCTCCAAACTGAGGGTGTGCCAACTGACATCTACTGAGGGTAACCCACTGAGTATGGATAAGTGCTTCATACAAGCCCACTTCAAAAGATCTGAACTATCCCCCTAAGCAGTTTGTTTACTTTGTGCTCCTCTTGTTGTGGCTCTGAAACTTTCTGGAAACACTTGAATGATCTGATGATTATTACATGCTGTGTCATGCTATTTAGTAGGTTAGAGGTTTGAATGACAGCATCCACAATGAGAAACAAAAATATAAAAAAGGTACACTGACAGCTTATATTGAACATTTTATCCAACACCATAATTCCTAACTGTTATTTGTTGCCAAGTATCCAGAAAAGTTTCTTTCTGTCACGTAATAACTACAGTCATACTTCGACTGTAATATTTGACTGTATTGCAGGTTTTGCTCCAGCAGGGGGCAGCAGAAAGTCCCATCTTCTGTAGTTCTGTTTTGCAGAGACCTTGGACACCCCCCCCCGGCCCCCCCCCCCCCAAACATTATCATTCACCTCAGCTCAACTCTGCAGTGCTACATTCAGCATATGAATACCAAACTTCAGTCTGTGATAAAATCCCCTGCATGACACTAAATCACTAAAAACAGTAGGTGGCAGCCTCAACAATCTCAGCGGTTTGCCTCTCCACTGCACATATTTTAAAAAGACATTTCTACAGCCCAGAAAGGGAGCTATGTATTATACCCATATTGCTACTAAGAAACAGTAACAATGTGGTTTAATAGCTGAGGAGATAAATCTGTCTCCAAACAGCAGATAAAGCTACTTTAAAAGTTACATTAACCATGACAGGACTCCAGTGAGACACATTCTTGGATGGTTCATTGCTGCAAAACGAATGTATTAATTGTTCTCGACAGACATGAAAGGAAGAGGATGAACAGGCATAATGCATGCTGGGTGTTCTGGAAATTGGCACAGATAAGGAGGAAAGAACTTCTGAGCCTCTTCACTTACTGCTCTCCTGCATCCTGGCCACAAAGCCAGTCAGAGGTATCTGTGGAGTCAGCTGGGGCATGGGGGGAGGAGGAGGAGCGATAGACACTGAAAGCACAGCAGAGAGAAGGCAGGGCAGACAGAGAGACAGAAAAAAAGAGAAAGCCCATCAGTCACCAAGAATGTACAGAAGACAGTTAAGAGTGCACCCCGATCCCAAGCAAACACAACACTGACACAGATGAAGACACAAACACACTGCGAGAACAGAGTGATGTGCAACAGAGACAGACTGAGAGCTGAAGTCAAATTAATTAACCTGTCGGCTCATGGAAACTTTATAAATTCCAAGTTAGATTTTTTAAGAACATTTAAAGAGGAAAATTATTGAAAGAACAGATTAATTAATTCAACTGTCTGAAGCTGCATCACACTTAAATGTTGTGAGGTTAAAAGGTTCAGTGACGTCTGTGAGTGTGATGAGATTCCACATGGTGTCTGGGGATCGCCGAGGTCAGAGGATGAACTGCGGATTTGATTCCTGTCAATCAGACAGCTTCTACTCAGGGCTCTTCAAGAAGTGAGGGCTGCTGGTGACCAGAGGGGGGCGCTGTTTGCATTGGAAGTCCATCAACCGCAATCCCAGACAACCCGCTGAACTCCCCTCAGATCAGTTGTAGTTATGTACAGAGTACTTTAAATTCTTTTCACACTTTTTAGATCCAAGTTAGAGACCATCAGACTGATTGACAGGCAGAACACACCGAGCCCAGTGCTTCTGTGAATGCACATCTGGCCTGATGATTATCTTACGGGGATGAGGCACCTGAACCCCATTTACACCTCGCAGAGTAAGCATGTTAATACCAGATGTAAATGCACGGCAAACACATTGTGACCAGAATACTATCTGCCACATCTGGAGGTGATCTGGCTCGCATTGTGAACTGATCTCAGCCAGGTGTGAATCCAGACAGTGTGACCACATTCTGTAGGAAGAAAAAAAATCTCCCAGCAAGTTGAAAGTTCAACTCAAACTTCCTGCTCTTTCAAGCTGATATTAGATTTTGCAATATTTTTATTTAACGCTTTTCATTTTCTTTTTTTTTTTTTTTTACATGAATCCTATAAGCACTTTTGTTTGTTATGAGATAAAGGCAACCGTTTATTCCTTTGCTCAGACTGCACAAAAAGTAGTGCTATAATGTTAGATTTACAATTCAGATTTACACAATTGTACTGTTCCTTGTATAACGTAAGTTCTTCAATTATCTGTGTAACGGAAAGAAAAAAATAATCAGACAAAGAAGGATCACAGGTGTCCCGATCCTACTAAAAAGTTTAATAAAGAAACATACTGAAGGTTTGATCCTGGTCAAAACCAATACTGGATTTTTTGATCTACTCTAAAATCGTAATCCTGTTTTCTTTTGAATGACCCATTTGAAAGATTTTTATCAAATCTGGACAATTGGGCCCATGTGTAAAAAGGGACTTGTTTTTAGACGGTAGCTAGTTGTGGATGAGTACACATGATGTACAGAAAACTACATTTACAGGTTAACTTCTGACTCTGCTTTTACACAAGGCCCAAAACTGTTAACTGTGCATTGTTAGCAGGCATCGACTGTCTGGTTTGTATCTGTTTGTATCAGGTAGAATCCAAGGATGAGGCATTCTGCATCAATACTAAAGACATCCCAGAGTTAGATAAAAAGCCTGAGTCTGTGCTTTCAGACTTAAAAGAAAAAGTCAATCCTTACAAGAATGCGGCCTTGACCTTCAGACAGCAGTGACTCACTTGCAAATATAAAATACTGTTCTGCTGCTACAAAGGTTAGCTTTCTTTAGTTTGTGACTGTGAATGATTTGGGAAAGAATGTGCTGTTTTGTGCTTCAGTGACAGTTTAGGATCTGTAAAGCAGGCTGCGGCTGGAGACAGAAAGACCTTACTTGAGTTCTGGCTGTAGCCAGGAGTGCCTCCATTAATATGAGGCTGTTGCTGCTGCTGCTGCTGCTGCTGCTGCTGTAGTTGCTGCTGCTGCTGCAAGGAGAACTGGGAAGTGACCGACGGCGCCCGGCGGTAGGTGCCCGTGGCCGAAACCATAGAGACAGAGGAGTTGGAGGGGTTGTGCCGTGAAATCTGCCGCGAGATGGTTCCAAACTGGGACACTGGAGCGGGGCCCAGACCAGGCCCAGGGGCCACAGCTAGAAACACCCAGAGAGAGGGAAGGAGGAGGGGAAAGATAGACAGGACCAAAGAGGGGAAGGGGGGGTTAGACATAGGAGACCGAAAGGGGAAGAGGGGGGGGAAGAAGCACCCATGAATCATCAAGATCGTAAAAGATAAAGTGAGCTTTTAAATCCTGATTAGAGCCCGACACCTTATGAGAAGACAATCAGTGACCAATTTAAGGAAGCAGATGAGCTGAGGAAGCAACACAGATTATTAATTGATAAAACAAAGATTTATTTTGTGAGGGTAAAATGAAGCAGGAGTCCCAAGAGGTCATCTGAATAAATCCTGCACCTAAGGGTTCTTTAGAAATGTAGCACAGGGGAAGAGTCAGTGAGAAAAGAGAAGCAGCCACAGAACAGAGAGATCCTTCAGCTTTCAGCGGACCTGACAGTGAAAATCGCTTCTTCACACACTTGTCAAAGATGTGATTATAAATGACTATTTGAGCTATCGCAGGGAGGGGGAGAGTGCATGACAGAGTGCACACGTCATTACACCGGCTGTCTAAGAATAACAAATCATGTCTACGTATGAACAACACAGTTATTACATCATTAAAAACTCGTGAATATTGGAAGATTACACATGCCGTGTGTGTGGGAGAAAACAGATGAGGGAGAGAAGACTGATTTATTTTGTTCTGCTTGAGTATTTCCTGTTCACATTTCTAGATAACGTGCTGTCTCTCAGGAGAGGCTCTGCTCTCAGATAGGGCTGGGTGGGTCCGGAGGAAGTAAAGATTCAGAGGAACACAAGAGCAAACAAACTTCTGCAAATTGTGACTGGCAGAAGTAATTATAGCTGTGTATTGATGTTCTGAGGATGAAACCGGCATGTTTCAAGTGATCATCCTGCTCAAGATTAATTCCCTCAATCAGATAAAAAGCAGCCAGCACGCACGCACACACACACACACACACACACACACACACACACACACACACACACACACACACACACACTGGCTTATACAGCTTTGCAGAGCTCTGACAGTAAATCAAAACCAGTATCTTTCAGTGATTCAGAGTCAATACCCCACAAAAATTAAAGCTACATTAGGCAATATTGAATGTTTGCAGCACTCAAATGGCTGTTTGAATGTTTTGGAACTTTAGAAATCATATTATGTGACATCAGCTGTGAGTCTAGTGGGCTCAGAATTGAGTGCTGGCTCACTGTTTCGTATTTCAGATATCAATTCATCACTAAATGTGCTAAGTTCTTCGTAACTTAGTCACTACTAGCTAAGTTGTGATTTATTCAAATCAGGTTGCAACATTAACACTTAAAAAATTGTTATGCTTGTAAAGGTTTTAGTGATGTTCAAACCTGTTGCTAAGAAACATGTAGTGCTGTCAATTTAAAAGCAATTAACTGTGATAACAGGAAGTCACAGTGGCATCACAACCTTTGATTTCACTTCCAAAATTCTACTTATATGTCAATGCATACATGGAAAAATAGGTGTGTTTCAGAGTTCGAATCAGTCCTATTTATTTCATACGAGGAGGAAATAACCAAACATGCTAGCTCGGCGAATGATGTGGGCATGGCGTTTTGTAATTTGATTTTTCTGAAATTAAATTTAAAATTTCTCTCTTATCCTGATCAAATGTCAGGTCAGATATGTTGACCATATTCAATTGCTTACGCTACTCCTAAATCTTAACAGGTCATATATTAGCAAGCTAATGCTAGCTTTCTCAGTCGCTTCAGTTTGTGAATGTATATAGAGATCTAGACACAGTTGAAGGCGTGGCCCTGTTTGTTCCAATGAAAGTTGCTTAGTGACCCAGGAAGCCAAAAAAGTTTGACTTCTCAGGTAAAAGAAAAATCGCCTGGATCTTACGCATCATTGGGCACAAAGAGCAGGCGCAGTACAGACTTCGCCAACTGAGCAGCTAACTTCCTGTTTAGCCCTTTGCTAACTCAAATGGGGATAAAATGACCTGAAAAATCTTGCCGCTATTCATCACTTTAAAAATGTTATTGAACCAAAGGAATCAAATACTAATAGTTAAACACGTCATTTTGCGAGGGGTGTGACGCTCAAAAAAAATGTATCCGCCGATTAACAGATGTCTCCTTCTCAAAGTAAATATGTGGTAATGATTCATCTCTTTGTAAGAGCTCATGTAAGTGGTGCAACCTGTTTTAATGTAGTGATGTGTACATTTTTTCATTTAGTAAACAAAGCTGGTGCAACCGGCTCAAGATCTGCCTTTGTGCACATACAACAATCTTAACTGTCAAAGTGGTTTAAGATGGAATAAAATATGTTTTGCCTGATGTAGCTTTAACGACAACAGTTTCTGGTAAAAAGTAAAGGACCAAATGTAACAGTGACATACCTGTGCAAAAGAAGTCTCAAAGCCCTTGAGGTTAATTCACTTCATATCTTTGTATGAACATAATTCTCACAATCTAACTTTAATTTTATTCTTAAATTTTGGTTCTGTCAATGCAGATAACATGTCTAGCTATACAGCAGCCTGAGGTCAAATGTAAATGGACAATTTTAGAGTTTCTGCAGGCAGTTATTACCTTTTCCCAGGCCTTAGGTGATATGAGACTTCTTTTTTTAGCAAATTATAACAGAGCAGGGAAGAATACGGAAACACCACCACCACTGAGAACTGAGAAACATGTTACATGTAGAACTGGGTGGAAAATGTGAGACACTTTCTCACATACTATGTAACCTGTTTCAAAATAGCAGCTCATATAGAGTCTGTTCACACTGCAAGATCAGCAAGTCATTTCACAGAGCTGAAGAATCTGGGGATCTGACTGATGGGCACAATGATCTTATAAGCATGGGAAGTTTTGTGCTCTTGACCGCTTTAAATTCAAAAACTAGAGGAAAATATATTCAAATAAAGTTTGGAGAACAGCTGCATCCATTACTGAAGCCTGAAGGTAATTTTCATGTCAATTTAGCAAGATTTGTTTACTCATCAACTTGCAGCAATTAAATATGAAACTATGTAGATGCAGCCTGATTTTTTGCACAAAACTCCTGCATGATGACACGACTGCACAGGAAGAATCAGACCCTCGTTCTTGCAGTGTGTACAAACAGTCAGACACCCATCGGCACCCTTATTCTTGCATCTCCACCATAAGATCGCAGCACATGTGCCGATTATCCACCATCCCGATAGCAGAGGTGACAGTAGCCTTGGAGCTCGAGGAGTCTCACCTATGGGTAGCGGTGGTGGCGGCGGAGGTGCTGGGGGGCCGAGCCCGGCCATGGGAGGAGGAGGAGGGGGTGGGGGAGGCGGAGGGGCTCCCGGGGGAGCAGACATGGGCGGGACTGAAAGGAGTATTTACATTAGTAACCATTTAAAGCAGAACAGGGTCTGCCCTCGCCGCCTCACGCTGTTACATAACATCACATCACTTTACTCAAGAACCCTTTGAGGCCGGAGGAGCGCTCCGACTTTGTCGAGGCGCTGCACACACTTGGACACACTTCTTTGTGGTATGAATTGAGTGTTTCCATGGCGACCGGCTTGCAGGGGAGAGCTGTGGTTAGTTCTGCACTGCTAGCCCGATCCTGGTGCCGAGGTACAAAAGCTGCTACAGGAAAATATATCTTGTTCTTGTTCTGTCTTTCTGTTCTTCTTCTTGTTCAGCTCAAATCTTTTGTAAAAGTTAAAAGCATCTATGGCGTGTGTATGGTGTAATGCAGTACTATGTGTAGCTTGTGCGTTGTGCAATGTGGGCCTTACTGTTCCACTATAAAAGCAGCAGGCCTAACGCAGCGTGGCCTATTTACACAGTAGAATAGAGAATCAGCTGTGCTTGGAACACAATGGGTCTGCATAATCCCTGTCTGGTAAACATAGGCTTTGTGTAGCGTACTCTTACTATCTGCAAATACATGCTACATTTACACCTCATCAAGTAACACCTGGTAATAGTATATACATGTATATTATATCTAAATACATGAACTTACTTCCTGTTGTTTGTTGCTCCAAGTTTTTAAATTTTTTAGCAAATATTTTGAACTAATACCTTATTTTCCTTGTTGTCTACTGTTTATATAAGCATGTAAGTAAACTCTGTCAGAGGTATGTGCAGTGTGCAAACAGCACAGCCTGTTTTCTCATCATTGCCTGTCAATGTTTTAACAGTGTTATCTTATTTCCGACAGGTCAAACAGTACACACTTTCAAGCGTAAAAACAGTTTTAGGGATATAAATAACAGATATTTGTTGTTTTTAATACTCCAAAGTGTTCCTTTAACCAGTGTTTGGAGCATGGAAAAGGGTTTCAAAACTCTTAGCAGCGCTGTAAGGCAGGGTGGGGGAGGATTTATGGCAGGCTTTAAAAAAATGCCTGAAGTCCATTGAGTCCAATCCTGCCCTCATTTAATATTAGCAAGCTGAGTGGCTGGCTGGCTTGTGGTAACAGTCACTGCATGATGTGCAGCTAGCAAAGCTCACCTGGTCCAGAGTTGGGGATGGAGGGTGTAGGCACGGCGATGGGAATGCCAATACCGCTGCTGCCGCTGTTCTCCCTGCTGCTGCTGCCCCCGCTGCTTCCACTGAGGGAGGAGACAAACAGAAGAGAAAGAGGACATCGCTTTATTCAGGGCAACCTGCTCAGAGTGCACAGCAGGTAATGCTGCAGATATACCCACTCTGGTGCATCTGTGCTAATGTCCTATTTAAGATGATTTGCCTGTATAACTTCATATTGTCATCTATCTCTCTCACACTGATTGTTTCAGTCTTAGGACTGAGCTGCAGAGAGAGACACACCCAGGTGAGCGAGACATGAGTCACTTTACTGAGGAAGTTTGGTCAGTATCAGTCACGGAATAAAACTGGATGTAGTTCAGGATTTTTTTTTCATGCATACCACCTAAAAATATCTTCTTGTACATCCTCTGACTGCCCCGAAACAGTTTAACTAATCTATGGTAACTATATACACTCTGAATTTAATTTTAATACATTTTAGCTTTGATGTGGCAGATCACATCAGAATGGAGGTCACCCACAGGCTAAATTCAGTACAAGCACTTTGTTGTACATGATATGAGCCAAACAATCTATTCAAATGTTGTAGCATCAGTGAATTAACTAAGAACAACTGAGATATATTGGCATTACAGCTTTATGAGAGCAGTGTTCACAGATGGATTCGAGGTAAAATATAGCAAACTGTAGTCACAGACGATACAAATACAGCTAGTCTATAGCTTGATTAAGTGTTAATAAATGGTAAATGGACCTGCACTTGTATGGCACCTTTCTAGTCTTCCAACCCCTCAAAGCGCTTTTTACATTATGAGTCACATTCATCCATTCACACACACATGCATACACTGGTGGCCAAGGCTACCATGCAAAGCGGCACCTGCTACTCAGTTTTTGTTTTCTTTAACACACTCACACACCGATGAAACAGCCATCGGGAGCAATTTGGGGTTCAGCATCTTGCTCAAAAATACTTTGACATGCAGACTAAAGGAGCCAGGGATTGAGCTGCTGATCTTCTGATTGGTGGACGACCCGCTCTACCTCCTGAGCCACAGCCAATCAATCAAAAATGCACGTGAGTGTGTATTTCACGTTAATAGTCCTAAAACACGTAAATATGTGTGAATTTATCGTTTGTTTCATAGGTGATAAACCACATATGCATGTATATATATTTATCATTCCTTATTAAACATCAGACTGTTGTTTTAACATGTGATGTCGTACATGTTACATGTAATATTATGTAAAGATCAAATGTTAAGTGTGCCTATGTGTGCAATTTTCTTTCTGAAATTTATGCCACATGATAAATATGTTTCAATTGTGACAAATTCCCTTGTGCATAAATTTATTTATTTTTATCTAATTTTATTTTTCTTTAGTTATACATTACTGTGAATTAATATCCTTAGGCTTTGGTTTATTTATTTAACAAGAAGTAATATCAAGGTGTCAGTTTGTTTTGTTTTTTTTTTTAGTAAATTTTAATAAAAAACAAACAAACATGTTATTTGCATATAAATATCATAATATAGGAGATTTGGGTTATCATAATACTCTGTTCTAAAAAGCTGCACAAGAGTGACAGTTAAAGGGCATGATCAAGAAACAACAAATAACTTTAAATCTGGCTATTACATCCTTATAAGTAATAACTTACAAAAAACCCTAATTTTGTCAGTACTGCCCGTCCCCAGCCTGTGAGGATATGGGACATGGGGGTGTAATATTTATGTCAGCTCTGCAGTGGTCTGTATAAGCACCGTTTCACCCTGTGTGTGACCCTGGGGCTCGTAGATCATTGCCCCGGCTGACTAAATCCCCCCTCCTGCTTTCACTCTCACTCTCTCGCTGGCCTTGATCCTCATTTCTGCCCCAGCCCCTCGCACCCCACCTCTCCTTTTCCTGCCTCTTTCATCCCTACTTTCCAACTGATCCATCTCCCTACCTCTCACCCCAAACCATCCCTCGATCTCTTCCTCTCATCCCCTCATCGTCTGAAAAGTGACACCCCATGCCCCTCACCCCCGTCTCTTCTGATTCCTTCTACCCCTCTGAACCTGCTCCCCCCCCCCACATCTCTTTATCCTCTTTTGCCATCATCCCCCTCTCCCCTCTCCTCCTCTCTGATCCATGTCAGTCGAGCCCCGGGGCGCTCCAGGCACAAACAGCAGGGGTTACCCCTCTGAAGGATGTTGGTGGCGGTGGGAGCTAAGTGTCTTTGGGGATAAAGGCTAAACAATATCATGCCATCCCTCTTTTGAAGTCAACGGCGTTCTTCACTCCCCCATCTGCATGTTATGGATTTCTCCAGCCTAATCCCTCTATAACTTCAACAGTTTCTTCACTAACCCATTTATCTCTTCCCCAGCTTTTGCTTTCGTCTTTGTTTCAAAGCGCTCGCTGTGAAACAAAAAAAGCACTCCACTCCATCTCTCCACCTTCCTGCCTGCCTGGCTCATTCAGCCTCCACTCGACACAGCGAGCTGTTTATAAGTCAGCCGTCTGTAACACACAGCGAGGCTTTAAGGAAGTTCCAGCTCACTTGCTCACAGCTGACAAAAATCCCTGGAGCCAATAAAGAAAAAAGCCCCCATTCTCAGAGTAAGGAACAAAATGTTAAAACAATATGTAAGTTATGTGCTTAGGGCTTTGTGACATGATATGATTTGACATAAGTGGGGAAAATAGACTTACAAAGTAGCCCTGAGGATAATCTAAGATAAAAAAAAAAAATGTTATTGAGGCTTTAAATAACCCGAAGCACAAAGAACATGTGGGTTTCTGCAATCTAGCATAATCATCTAACGCAAGTTCAGCTCAGGGCTCCTCTGAAACACATTTTATATAAAGATCAATTACTCACGATGAGCTTGCAGATGTTCTATACTTATTTTCATGTTGAAATGTGCAAAGTGATCAGCACAGAAAATGCACCTAAAAGGCAGCTAAACAAGATGCTAATGTATATCCTGCTGGTGCAAAATGTGCAAACAATAAATACAGGCTAGTTCATGTGTTTAACTTTTGCATCTGCATATTTGAAAAGCCTCATTTAAGAATGCAAAGTCCAAAAACGTTAAAAATTTAAAAAACTTGTTTTAACATGTTTTTTAATATGATTAATTGATTTTCAGAGCATATAGTGTGTTTAAATGTGTGGTGTTACACAGGGTTGGAAGTTAACATTTTTGTCCACTTGCCACTTGCATATTTTACTGGCATTTGGCTGGTGCTAATTTCCAACCCTGGCGTTGTACAGCTATTTGGACTGAGTGGCTGATTTTGTCTGTTTTGGAAGCAGCTTCCCGAGTCCAGCATCAAATCTGTTTAAGTATCTTACATACTGATAACAAATTTTATTTAATGACCATTTTGGGGGCACTTAATGTCTTTATCAGAGAACCTGCAATAGGGAAATAGGAAAGGAAATAGGAAAGGAAAATATGGGAGACAGATGAGGACATGCAGCAGAGGTCCCCAGCTGGACACCAACCAGAGGACGTAGTCCGTGGTCAGTACCATAGTTAGAGAGACCCTAATTACATTTAATTTGGTTTAAAATTAAAGGGTGAGTTTGGTAGTTTTCAACCTGGAAACTATTTCTCATGTTTTTGTGTCAAGGTGACTAATGGGAACAACATTTTGAAATTGGTCCAGTATTGGAAGAGATCACTGCAGCTGGCTGCTGAAACAGACTGAGATGTATTCACTCGGGGCATGTGTGCACCGTCAATGTACATCCACTAAAAGTGCTTGTTTTTGTCACTAACAGGCTCAGATTGTTATTCTAAGTGTCTGACAACTTACAGTAAAAGGATTCCTACAGAGATAAGCCCCTTTAACACTGCCAGATTTTCCGCAAATGTTGGGCCGTTTTGCCGGCAAGCTGTGAGCATTTAGACACACAGAGCCGGATTGGCGAGTTGATCTGAGGTGCCCAATTTTCCGCCTCATAGGGTAGTCATATTGGCAGAACATTTTTGGTTTAAAAAGAACGAGGCGCCCTTCCGCAACGGGAGGAGCCGTTGAAGACTTGAAGACAGGAAACAGCTGATAGCAGGAATGAGCGAGCAGCTAGTAGCAAGAGGGAAACGTAAACCTGACAGACACTACAGTAAAGATGAGCATCTGAGGAGACAAGGAACTGCGCGCCCTCCTTGGCCTCGCAAACGAAGAGGCCATTAACCGTCATGGGGACGGTGAAGGACGGGCCAACTTATGAGAGAACCACCGAAGGACTGACCAGCCACGGCTTCCCTCGGAGCACACGCTGAGCTACACGTTTTGTTACTTGCTCACACCCCCACTGCCCTGAAAAAGGCGCATTCTGTATGAACAAAAGTAGGCAGGCAGCATTTTGCTGCACTCCCCGATTTTTTTTTTTTACTGCCAATGCTGAACGAAGACTGATTGGGCTTTCCTGCAAATTTGCACAATTCCTATTTAAAAAGAACTATACACTAAGAGTGAGAACCCTCTTTGTTTGACCAGAAACAGCAATTTTAGCATGTTAGAGCCAGTGTATTTTCACATCTAATTAGGTAAATTAAAAAGAGACAGAGTTGGTGGTTTGTTAAAACAGGGGAAAGACGAACCAAGACACTTTTTGTGATTGTTATTTTGTTTCTGCCGACACTGAATGAAGTGTGTTTTATGATGATTAAATTACTGTTTTTTTAAATGGAGGGGTTTAGTGCTAGCAATTTCAGGGCTGTTTCTGGTTAAACAAAAAGCATCTTACTCTTCAACAAGAAGGTCTTTCTCTGTATGGACCCTTTTAATAATATTGTGAGATGCTTAAAATAACAATCTGAGCCTGTCAGTGACTAAAACATGCACTTTTAGTGGATGTACATTGACGGTGCGTATATGGGTAGTTACATTGCAGCCTGTTTTATGGCTGCTCGCTGCAGTGCTCTCTCTTAATGTCGGACCAGTTTCAGATACTGTTGTCCCATTAGTCACTTACAAAAAACATGGGAAAATAGAGGCTGAAAAATACTGAACTTACCCTTGAACAAATAATGAAGGAGAGGAAGAGTAGATGGTAGCCGAGTGAGGTTTTTGGTTGTTGTGGAAAAACAGCTGCCACAATTCATTTTAAGTCAGTTGTTGTATGCTTCATCTAACCACCATCTTAAATGCAGTTAGATGCAAACAGTGACTGTGACAAACAGGCTTTCGTAGAACAATGATACCTGCATACGACAGTGTAATCCTTCCCACTGAAAATATGAAATAATAACAGCAGGAACACAGAGATGCCTGTATTGAATTTAGTCTTCAGTTGAGGAAGGCAGAGACTGATGAGCTGAATAAGCACAGCCGACTTCAATCCTGTGTAATCAAATAGTGATGCCACAGCAATATTAGCTGAAGCAGGGCGGGTACGGCCCGACGCTAAGGACAGCACCACTTTGTTAAAGGGACATCACGGTGGCTTTGAACCACACATCAGTAACTGTGATGCTGCTTTAAACATTGGAGGCCACTAATTACAAGAATTCCTGGAAGTTTGGGTTGAATTGATGAAGAAGATGAAGAACTTCTGTGTGATCGAGCAGCTCTGTGTAAACATACATGAGCAAGAAAGAGAAGTTGGGGCGAGGAAAAATAAAATAGTTGTGTAATATTTATGGGTGTCACAGTCAGCATAACAGGCTTTTTAGCTAATGAGGCGACTTCACTCACTCGTAACTCAAACTTGATGAAAGCGCCCCCCCGCTTCCTCTGTGCGCAGACTTCTGGGTAACAAACAAAGAGCCATGTTCAAGGGTTTCCACGCTGCAGGTGACTTAGGGTTTTTTTCTTCTGAAACAGCACTTTATATCAGAGGCTTTTACAGATATTAATATCAAAGTGATTCAGACCGCGGTAGGAAACCCTCCGAGCCTTGTCTGACAATGCTGGATTTAGTGAAGCGGAGAGGAGGAAGAGGTGTGAAAGTGCTCCAAACAGCTGAACTAAATGAAGAGATTACAACTATCAGACATGGAGGGGACCAGCGCTTTTTTGGAGAGATGCTTTTCCCACATTACTGAAACACTCAGTACACATTTAGTGCTCAATTTAGAGGTGTAGCTGGAACACTAATTCCACTCATACCTATCCAAAAATGGGGAAAAAAGCCTGAAGTATCGGTCTCACTCGCCTTTAAAAGCTGTGCAAAGTTGATTAATATTTCAGCTGCTGATTTTAGAGACTTTTATCCAAAAAGTTTGTTGCAAAGTTTGGATCTCTAACTTCATCATATCAGCAGGGGGCAGGGTGCTATCAGTTTGATGTTATGAGGCAAATACTGACTCCACATTATGTTCTGACTTCATCAGTTGATGCAACTTTGCTTGAGACCTTTTTAATTTGCTTTGAGCTATTTAGCCTTAAAGTTGCTTCGTAAAGCTGTTTATATTAGGGGTGCTCCAACTGATCGGCTGATATTTGTCCTACATAGTTTGATAGTTTGAATGGTGGTCTGGTCTCTACAGGCCGGTCAGAAGAGCTGATCAGATGACACAAAATGCGCGAGCCAATTCTTCTATGTGTCCCTAAAATGCAGATGAAATATTGGTTGTAATACTGGTTCGCATGTATGTGCACGTGTGTGAGAGAGTGTGTTGCAAGTGTCGGTTTTACGCACAGTGACGCTGATGTGAAACCAAAGCAGGACAAGAAATGATTTATCCTGTATTTTTCATCAGATAATGATGAGATAAAATCTTCTGTGAAACAGGTTTGACTAAAACGACAAAGCTATTAGTTTTGGCTCGACCACATTGACCGATATAATCTGATGACTAAAAAGTCAACGGTTTCACTTTCAACAGACTAAGACTAAAATAGTTACAGTTTTCTTTGACTGAGATAAGATTTAAATGCCACTACTTTTAGTCAACTAAAACTCAAAATAAGACATGATAAAGTTGACTAAATATGATACAAAATAAGAATATTTGACACAGGACTGAGAATGAATTAAAAAAATAGCTGATAAAATTGTTATTGGCTGATACTGGTTCCTGCAATCAGTGATCCACTCCAAAAATCCAGATTGGAGCACCCATAATGATATGCAACATTTTGCACACACATTAAGTTCTTATTGGTGTTTTGTGATTCTGCCACTACCTTGGTTGGATACTGTAGAGTAATTGTTAATTTTCTAAAGTGTAATTTTACTACCACTTCTTCTGTGTACTCTGTGCCTGCAGCACAAATTGCACTTCTGTTTTGGGAAACATTTTCTGTTGCTCTTCTTTAATGTTTTCTTTACTTTATTGACTTTTAAAGAAAAAAAAAAAAAAAAAAAAAGATTTAGCTTAAAAAATGAACCTAGCTTGACTTTAAGTAACATGTCAGTGTGTGTGTGTTGATCTGTTACTGCAGCTAAGCTCATCTTTACAGAGTATGTGTGTATCCACATTTTTCTGCAAACTGCAAAGATTGTCCCACTGTGTCTGTTACACAACATTTTTTCATTATCGATTAATGTATTGATTATTTTCTGATCAATCAATTTATCGTTAAGTGTTTAAAATGTTTTATAATAGCAGTAAATTACATTACACTAGCACAAAGCCCATGATGGCACCTTCTTCTTGTTTGTCTCAAGTGACACTCCAAAAATATTCAATTTACAATGTAACAATACAACAACCTTACAATAACCTGTAGAGCTGCACTGGTTTGTGTGTGTGTGACAGACTGTATGACTCCTCTTTTCTCATGTACCTGTGTGTGCGTTGCCTCTGGTTAAGCGATGCCGTGCGTCCGGGGCTGTGCTGCTGGCCATGCTGGCTTCCTAGTCGGGCGGGGCTGGTCATATAGTCGTTGGGCACCGTGGGTGGCTTCACCGGCTCCAGGGTCTTGTAGGATGTGTTGCGTCTGAGGCAAATAAATAATAAATCAAAGACAGGAATGATCATAATTCAGTGCAAATCCCACTATTAAAACTTGCAAGGGCCGTGTTCACTAGAGCGTAGTAAATCCTATCAGTTTACCCAGCTGGATGCTATGTGCTACAGGCTGCATGTGAGTACATCACAGTTTACTCTTGGAATTAATATGTGATTAGTGTCGCTGACTGCTGTTGCTGCGCATCAGACGACGACGGGTGTCATCGAGGTGTGAGGGCTGTCTTACACTAACAGGTAAAAGTTTTCTTTTTTGCCTGGATCCCTTTAACTCTGGCTTCGCTTACATCACTTTTGTCATTTCAAATGTGTAAATGAGCCAAAACCACACTCACGAACACACTTGAGTTAAAAAATAATGTCCCAGGGCATCCTGATAGCTCAGTGGGTAATGTTTGTTCACTGTGCTATTTCATGTTACTCTTCACCAAACATTTATTCATTAAAAAAAAACAACCCACAAATGCCAAAAAATCATCTTAAAAGATAAATAAATGTCACATGTATTGTAACTGCATGTTCTTGTATCGCCCACACAAGAGCTCTGTTTTTGTCATTCAGCATTTGATAATTAAAGGATTAGTTTTCCTTTCATGGTGACTGAAATGGAAATCTTTACCCGAGTGTGCCGCGCCCTGACATGGGAGGGCTCGGCGGCTTCTGGGTCGGCGGATTGGTCCTTGATAGTGTTCCTCCTCTGATTGACTGGTTGTTTCCATGTTGCTGTGGTTAGAAGAAAAAAACAACACATATTTAACAAACAAATGACTTCAGACTGTGTGGCTCAGTACTACTTGAGTGAAAAAAATCAAATGCTATAGGCTGCCCAGATAACATCTCTTCAACAACACAGATTTGTATTTCAGTTGGTAATATTTGAGGAGTTATGTAATGCCACCCCAGCTTGTGTTTAACTCAGTCATAGGGTGAATTGCAGGTTAAGAACCTCTGGTTTGTTTCAACAAGGCTTCTTGCAAAACACTTGTTAGGACACACACAGTCTTAACAAGCAGGTAAAAATCCGATAACTAAAACCTTGAATTTAGCAAAATCTGGATTTACAGTATTGCAAGATCCACTTAACTGTTTAGTCTTTACCAAACACTTAAAGGTACAGTTCAACCCAGAATCAGAAAACCATTTCCTCTCTTAGTTGTAGTGCTATTTATTAAACTAGATTGTTTTGGTGTGAGTTGCCTTCTCTCCAATATGAAGGAACTAGATGGCACTCAGCTTGCGGTGCTCAAAGCGCCAAAAAAATACTCTTGAAAACTCAACATCAGTGTCTCTTTTCAGAAATCATGCCTCGGTTACTGATGAGAATCCACAGACCTTGTTGTGAGCAGTTTCATGTAGGGACTATTTTCTTTCTACCAACACGCCAGGCATATCATCGCGCAGAAAAAAGTATGCATCTTATGGCTGGGTACTGTTTAAAAAGTAACCATACCAGTACCCTAAGTACTTCATTCAATACCCATAATGTGAATGGAGTGGCGTGTAGTACAGCAATTCTTTAGAAGATTTTGGTAGTATCTTGGAATCTTTGAACTGCCAATTCAGTCAAATACACCACACTACGCTTCACCACACCTCACCTTATGGGGTGTAGCTACTGCTGTGGGAGTGTGAGCTCTGTGCCTGGGACAATTGTGAGAGTCTGTCCAGCTGCAAGCACAGTGACAGGGTTAGCTGTTAGCATCACACAGCTAACGTTACCTAATTGTTATAATGGGTTTAATGACAGCGTTGCGCCATTTACGAGTTCATGTTGTTGTTGGGACCTTTAAATAGCTCAGTGTCAGATGTTAGCTGCTGCTGCTGTGTTAGCTGGTGCTAACCAGGCAGATGTTGAACTGACCATTCACTTTCACCAAGTGAAAAGTGGCTCTGGAGACGGCAGCAACAGAAAGTTTGCTGATCTGGCAGTAAGTTGGAACGATCCGAGATGGGACCCCTGGCACAAAAAGGATCTAATGCAATTGATTGGAGAAGTTTCAATACTGTTTGTTACTGGGTTATTTTGGGCAATATCTTAAAAGACTTTAGTACCAATATCCAGCTCTAGTGCATCTACTGCTAGCTTACCTAGCACCACTGAGCTAGCTAATGTTACAGCTCAGCCGAGGAGGACGCCATTACTGTTTACACCTCATGCTCTCACAAGCACGAGCCTCTCGTCCATGAGAAGATGCACACATCTTTCTGCACGGTGATATGGTTGGTAGTTTTAGTTTGGTACAAACAAAATAGTTCCTTCATGAGAGTGCCCACAACAAGGGCTGAGGATTATCTTTAGTAACTGTGGCGTGATTTCTGGAAAGAGACATTACTGCTGAGTTTTTCAAACATATGTTTTTGGCACTTTGAGTACCACAATCCGAGTGCCATTGAGTTCCATTATATCGGAGAGATCTGTACAGCTGATATCTCCAACATTCGGCAACTCACACCAAAACAATCTAGATTGATGAACAGCACTACAAGTAAGAGGTAAAATATGTATTTCCAATTTGAGGTGAACTGTCCTTTTAAGGAAAAAGAGTGTTTGCTTTCTCTGGGTAGCCTATAAGGATTTTAAATAAACTATAGAACATGTATGGGCAACCGACTACACAACATATAAAGTGAATGACAACATACAAGGAGGGTGTTATGGAGCGTCAGGCTGTGTTCTGGAATAGGAGGACTACAGTACAAGTCTGTTAATGGGAATAACATGGGAAATGACCACAATAATCACATGTATAGGGATTTGCTGTGAAAGGGAGCTGGACGTATCTATCAATAATACATTACAGTAGAATGGGTCATGTGATAAACCAGGCTTACCTTGGCTTTTAGCCACTTATGAAGGCGAAGGAGATAAAAGACAGAAGAGAGAGACAGAAAGAGGGCATGTCAAAATGGCCATGTCCAAACAGATCAGTAGAAGTCAAAGTACAAGCGAGCAGGAGAAAAATGATTCCTTGTTGTATTTACACTGAGTAAACATTTAGTAAGACCCGGGCAGGTCAGTGGTTATAAGTCATACCAGCAGAGGAAAACATTGTGGCTCCTGACTGCTGCTCCCTTTACTCAGACCTACAGTGCCACACCCTGTGCCACAGTCAGACTGGAAGGAAATCACAGGGATCTGATGGCACAGCTATTGTGCAAGTGAAACAAGTTTTATCCCAATAGGGTATCTTTGTGCATCAAAAGGCTGTCTTACAGATATGGATTTTAAGACTGCTGAGCATATATGTGTTTCGTTGACTCCATTTTTTTTTGTTCAAATCCAGGTTTGGACTCAAAACTGAGATTATCACATTACTTGCAGTGATAAAAACCACCTTTGTACTTGTATGGGCTGCTGTCAAAGAGAATATAGAGCCAACAGAGCAGTGGGGTTTGACAACTGCAGAGTCAAGTGGCTCATCTATAATGCAGCTTCCCCAGTGGCCTTTACAGAAAGCACTGTAGCATCACAAGACCACAAGAGAAAGAAGATGAAACAAAAAAGCAGATTCATGGCTTGGGTCAGCATGAAGCGATCTCTGCCTCTTTAAAAACAGAAAACACCTTCAGCTGTGAATGGTTAATTTCACATTCAAATTTCACTCTCCCCAGGTTATCAGAGCCAGACGAGATTCAATTTACAATCTAGGTCATGCTGGGAATGCAAAGGCCTACTACCGCCTTCCCTTATCTTCCCAGCTAATGCTGTATCTGTGTTTTGCTGCACAAACCAGACTGTCTGCGTGGAAATGCTTTAGCAACGTCTAAGTTGAATTGTGGGACAGACAGGTTCAGATTAAGGTCATTATCAAGTCCAAAAAGGCTTAGCATGTCGAGCTGGGGGTGAAATCTAGAGCAGTGCAGTCTGTCGGAGTTTGGTGAGTCTATCTGGTCAACGTTCAGTATAAAGGACTCAAACACTTCCTGAGATTCAGAGTAAATCCCAAAAAATATTTAGTCCAAACAAGACGACAGTGGCTAATGTGTGACTATTTCATGTTCGAAAGTGTCAAAAAAACCCAAATCAAAAATTTCAAACTGGGAAAGTTTGACCGACATGGTGCTATTAGCGCCTTAAAAATGTGACAGACAGGATCATTAATTAACTACAATACTTCAGATTTTCATGAACTCAAACCCTGTTTTGATACCATTTTTCAGCAATAGCAATTAAATGTATATAGAGTGTATTTTCTGTACTTTATTCTAATATATTACTGTTTATTGTTAGTGGCGGGGTCCGCCATGTCCACACAGGATTGACACTGGCTTCATACGCACAAGGGGTTCACTGTAAACGATCCATGCATGTTATCCAACAATACTATATTTTATTTTGTCCCTAAAATAAGCTCAATTTCTTACTGTTTACTCTCTTCACACCGTAACAGAGCTGTCTTAAATTACTGCTGACACAAACTGAAAACTTTCCTACTGCTTCTGCTGTTTCACATTTAAAGTGTTCAATTAGCAAACACGGGGTGGCTTGTGTTGTGATGCTGTCACTGCAAACCCAGTGTATTTGTCACCCACAGTTAGATCTTAAATGCATCCACAAAACAAGACAACACTCTTATTGGGCATTTTTGACAGCAGAGTAGTTGTAAATACTGCATAATGGAACAAGATAGATGAGCCACAGTGAGCTGTTAGATGGAGAGATGCAGGCAACAGGCTGCACACCCCCAATTCCTCAGCAAGGTAACAGACTACTGATACCATGTGGAATTTGTGCAATTATTTTTGACTGCCTTCTTTATCACAGCATGAGTTTGTTTGGCTGCACTGTAAACAGATACACCACTTGCTCTTCTTGTGTATTTCTAAGCTGTTTGCTGTAGCATTTAACTCTTAGAGCCTGGCAACCACCACACTATCCACAGTTACCTTGGTTGTTCCATCTTCCACTATTTCTGCTACAGGGGAAAGTAACTGTAAAAAACTTACATTGATACTCTTCAGCCCTTTATACACAGAGATCATGCTATATGGCCGCTACAAAGTGTCTTCTTCGTGCCACCTTTGTTTATACAGGACCAAACAACTGCGGAAACATGCCACTAAGCTCTGCCTCCCACTTCTAGTTTCATGCCATGTACAATCTCCAAGCGCTGGGTCGCCCACATAACACATCGTCAAAATGTCACACCCATTCGGTCCTACCGGCTCTCCTTTTTGCACATTTGTTGATTTGGCGCTATTACTACCTCCACTGCCGGCTTAAAGGCAAGGCACCTCAGTCTCCTCCATTCTGTGATTGTGCTTTTTAGGTGACATTTCTACCTTGAACAGGGAGTTTTTAAGGGGTTTTTGAGTACAGGGGAAAACAGAGAATTGAATGTGGGACCCTATGTGTTCCTATGAGAGTTGCTCAGTGGCGCATGAAGCCAAAATGATTCAACTGCTGTGTATAAAATTACCCAGATGATTCAGGGAATATCTGCATTACTTCCACACTGTACGGCCCATAGAGCAAGCGCGTTAGAGACTTACGGTGGCCGAGTAGCTAACTTTGGCCAGTTGACTTCCGGTTAAAGTGCTCCGCTAACTTGAATGGGGATAAAAAGATTCAAATCCACCAAATCCTGATAGTGAAACGAGTTATTTTGTGGGGTTGGGATGCTCAAAAAACATGTATCCACTGAGTCACAGATGTTTCTTTCGCCATGTTAGTCTATGGGAAAAAGTCTTTTGGGGCCTCAGGGCATTTTGTGCAGTACCACTGTTTGTCTGCTACGAAAATTGGCTTCAAACGTCAGCACATCTGGGGACCTGGATTGTACGTGGTGGCAGAAAGAATAACAAGGTGAAAATGAGGCTTATAGGGACCCTCTCTGAACGCTGATGTGTCAACATTCTATGGGCAAATACATTGTGCAATCAAAGACTATTTCCACTTTAAGACAATGGTGACTTGCTGACCTCTGTGCATGCAGGCTGTCATTACTTTTTCGACATAAATAGGAAAAAAAAAAAAATCAAAATTCCCCCTAACCCAAACTCTCCCTTTAAACTAATCTTACAAATTCATAACTGACACAACACAAAATATCAACGACATGCAATCTAACTTCAAACACCTGACATCATCCCGACTGATTAGATTAAACATCAGCTGACTGGAACAATAAAAATCTAAAGCTAAAAAAGCATTACATCACTATCAGTGACGCCTTCAGAAGCAGGAACATCCTGATCTGTCAGCTGTGAGTTTTCATTTATTATTGACATGATGTTCAGATTATCCGCCCGACGAATTTCACCTTGTCTATTCTCTCAGTTCCTCTTTTTTCTTTATTGCTTCTGATCTGAGAGCAGCTTCTATTCAATAATGTAGGTGAGCGCTACATGATGTCTCTTCTCGCCATTACAACTCATGCTTTGTGTGTTTAACTGTACAAACACAGTGTGAGGCCATAAAACTCATTCAACATTTAGGCCAGTGCAAACGCTCAGCTACACATAACGAGTTTCACAGCTAACTGAAGGCAATAGACATGATTTAAACTCCCATTAAAGTATTGATTCTGGTCAGTAAGTAAACTATGGTGATAGATATTCTATACAAGCCGGGCCTCTGACAGCAGCCATCACAGGATACTATATAATATGAAGTATTGATGCTGAATATTGATTGGCTCTTTGGGCCGTGACATGCATAGACGAAAGGAGGTGAGTGATGTAGGACGGCTGCAGGAGCGTGTGTGTGGGTGTGTTTTCCCCATCACATTCACTCACTAACGGCAGCATTCATAAAGACATCTAAAGGAGAAAATCCGCTGAGATTAGGCCCAGAGTAATGTGTAATGTTCTTAAAATAGATGCATCAAACACTCTCAAGGCAGCCATGAAACATGCTGGTTTCGGTAATTTGACACTATTGTGCAATGATGTAGTGGTATTCTAATTTTGAGCAACTCTTCTGTTTAGTCTAACAGTTGAGTCAGAGCTGTGGATGATTCATTCGAACCTCATGGTGATTTTGCATTCTTTTTGCCCTTAACACAAATCAAATGAATTTGTAATTCAAAAAGTATGAATATCATGATATCATTGATTCCCTACCTTGGAGACAGCAGCTGATTAAACACTTCAAAGTACATTTAGTAGCTGTTCTGAAGCTTTTAAACACATCACATGATCTTCATCAGCACACAGAGCTCCCCTGCTGTCATGAAACTGTACATTGGTATTAAACCCCTGTATCATATAGGCTACATACAATTTAACGGCACTGAGCAAACTGGGGGGAGAAACAGCTACAGTATCAAGAGAGACTGGTTAATTCTTGTTGTGTACTGCTGGGTAACAATAAAGAGTGAAGAAGGGTTCTATAGATTTCTATCTGCAAAGAGCAAACAAGCTTAAAGACAGCTCTAAACTCAGCATTTGAACAGGGGAGGCTAAACTTACAGCCTCATAGCTGGCTAGCTTCATATATACTTTCATATTAAGCATAGCAGCACAGACATTAAATAGGTGTCATTTTCTTATTTCATTCTTGGAAAGAGACTGAATTAGCAAATTTCAAAAAATGTAAAACTGTTGCTTTAATACAAAATAGTTACTGTATGTAAAAAAGAAAAAGGTCTTCTTACAATTTAAGTACATAATACAGTGTTCCTGGGGTGACGTTTCTCTGTAGGGCGATGCGGAAGTTAGCGCCACCCTGGTTCCCTTGTCAAAAAGCCAATAATGATTTTTTCGATGGGATTTTGGATTATCGCAGAAAATAAACTCTGTGGCAAACAAATGTTTATGATACTTACTTTGTTCAGCAAGATAATCTTTACAAATGAACACCACTTTTAAGAGTTTTGAAGCCCAAACACAATTGCCAGAAGTAAAAAGCTAAAGTCAGGCTATAAATTAACTACACCACCATTACATGACTTTATGTCGTCACCGCAACAAGGTTGTAAAGCTGTGTTTGGAGTGATGACGTTCTGAAGTCTCATTTAGCCACTTTTTAGCAACTGCCTTTTTTAAGACACAAAAAAGCTTCACAATTCATGAGTGTAGTATTTAATGTTGTATAACAAAACGTTAAAGTCTCTTAAGATTTTGTTAACCACAGGCCGTACCTCAGGCATCTAACCAAAGAGCCATTCCAAAAAACCCATTGATTTCAAGATAAGGGAACCCGAAGTGCAAAAATGCTAACTCATTTTAGGCTTTTAGGGCTCGTTGCTGGAGCCACAACACTCTGTAAAAACCTGGCCCCTATCGTGAGAAACACACCCAAATAAAATCTTTCACTACCCATTAGCCAGCACATGCTTCCATCATGACGGAAGGGTCCAATGTAATTCTCTACACAGTAAATTGAGAGTGACACAATGGCTTTTATCCTGCCTTATCAATGCCTGTAATGCTACGGGACGGTAATGGCGGGCCTCTAATCCAATCTGTCTGAAAGCTGCAATTGATTGGCTGATTGATGTGACAGAGGACGTTCGGGGGGAGGGTGAAGATCACGAAAAATGCCTCTGGCCATCAGGAAATGATGTCATTACCGCCACGGTCAGGACGACCCAGTGACCCCTAAAGTGAGCCCTAATGGCAGAGAGGGAGTGAAAATGTCACTCTTGGATCATCAGTTTATCACATCAAAATCAGCTTCTCTCCTGCCTTTCAGATTGTACTGACATGAAAATAAACTACTAATCCAATTGTAATAACGTCATTCCTCGGCAAAGGTTTAGAGAAAATGGAGAACGAGATTACGAGGGCGGTCCAGGTCCTAAGTGCCTTTAAAAACATCTCACAAATTTGTCCTCTACTTGCCATATTCACAACACTCTAAGAATAGAGCTATTTTCTGAAAGCTGTATGATGTAATCACTTTTTTAGTTCATCTCCACCCCCAACCCGTTCCCACCAACCCACACTGAAACATATTCCTGTAGGGTCAGAAGGGGTTGCTTTCTGAAGATGAAAGAGAAAGCACAAGAGATAGAGTGTGAGCGGGAAAACAAGTCAAAGTGGGAGAGAGGAGAGGAGTGAGATAGGAATACCTCTGGCAAGAAATAGAGGAGGGGGAAGGGAAGATAGAAAAAAATTAGATAAAGTGGAAGAAGAAAGTGGAAGAACAGAAGCAGAGGAACTGAGTGTAGAGAAATCTGATTAGGGAGCAGATCCAAAGTGGAGAAAAATACCAAAAACGTATAGAATATCAGGAAATTCTACTTACCTTGACGCCATGGCCAACGTCGTCCAGTACAGTGTAGTCAATGGGCTTCCTGATGTACCTGACAGGCCGCTCCATGTTAGCTGGCGCTATAATCTTATGGGTCCTCGACGTGTTCTTGTTGGTGGTGAGAATCCCAATTTCCCGCCTGGCCACCTTCTCTTTATGTATGTCCACAGTCTGTAAATGACAGTGAGGACAGGAGATGTAATCGATACCACGGTGGAGACACACAGACGTACAGCACAACAGGGACCTCTGGGACTCAATGAACTCGTCATACAGCATCTTAAGAAGGTTTAATTAAATCATGAGGCTGTGCTTTTCATCACTGGAGTCGTAATCTTTTTACAGCGGCCAGTGCACACTAATAAAATCGATTGTGGTGGAGATGAAGGCCTGAACAGAATAATGACAGAGGCATGTGCATCTCAACATTTCTGACTTCAGGAATTAATTAATGTGAATGAGTTTACTGGCCATAAATCTGGATGTAAATCAGCAAAATATTAGGGATCAAAATACATAAAAACATAAAAATAGACAGACTGATTAGTTAGAGCTGAAAGTGATGTGATGAAATGTGACTGAAGTGATGCAACTGACAGAACACCGCTTTCATATTTCAGAGAAATGAAATTAAGTCTATTGTGTATTTAACTCATATCCTCACAGATTTCTATTAACAAAAAGATTCTTTCATCTTCCTTTTGCAAAACGCTTGGGCCAAATTGTGATGCATTATTTATACTCCTCAAGAGTGTTTTTCTACTGAAATTGCACCGATGTTCCATTAATTACCCCAGTCCCCTTTATAAAAACTAATTACTTTAAAGATGCATTAGGAAACCCTGCACACTGCTGGCACCAAATGACAAAAATAACTTGTCAAAAGACTGAACTCGGAAACCATGCTACCCTTTTTCTGATACACTGCACAGTGCATGTTTGCAGCCAAGGTTTGATCATAAAGAATGCTTCGTTAGGGCTTTGAATGAGGCAGCAGAAGTAAGGTTACTCTGGATCTGGATTTATATCAGCCTGACCAATTTATCGGGTTAACTCCCTTTCCCCCCTTTCACACATGCACTGAAACCCTGAACTTATCTAGACATTTCCCGGAGGAGCTGTATGAGAGACCGCAAATGTCCGGATCAGCTGGAAGGGACTTTAACCTCCTGAAACCCATGCTTTTGTTTGGTATGCATTTTCAATTTCTCCCAGCTTAACTGGGATTCTTAGGACCTGGCACAATAAACTAAGCAGCGTCTTTAAAAAGTAAGTCATTTTTGAGAAAAAAGGGATGGATTTATTTTTAATAGCCACAGGTGTGTCACAGAGTATTAAAAAAAGTTTATTTCAGTGCCTGAATATTGTTGTGTAAAAACAAAATTACAAACATTGCGACATTTGCTCATTGTTTTGTAACTCTATGGGACTGTTCAAAACTGTTACTTTCCATTCCTGAACAAAGGTTTGCAAAAAAAAAATGCAAATTATGCAACATATCTAAAAACCTTGTGATTTGTTTATTTTGTAACTCTGTATGTATTTTTGTTGCTTCATACTCCAGTCTAGGAAAGTCCTTCTGTCTATAAGGACAGTCTGCCAAACCTAATTGGCCTGATAAAGTCCCCATGTCCTCAAACGAATATTTCCTAATTAACAGCATTTTAGTTTCTTACTATTGGTAAGACATGATTAAACATAAATTAACAAGTGATGATCATAACATTTGATCAGGTTTTGTATCTTGTCCACTTTTGTGTTGGGATCAGCTGCAGACTGACTTGGCAGAGATTGCCGCCATCTTGCTTTCAAATGGATGACTGTGTTGTGATTTTGCTACCACTAGATGGCACATAAAAGTGTCTACGAATGAGGCAAATAGGTCTAAGTTAAGCAGAGCAAGGTATAAGATGCAGTAAACCCAAAATGTGATGTTTTCATAGAAGGACGCACTTCACCCTGCTAGCTCCCCAGTACAAAGTCTGTGTAATGTCCGATTGAGCCAATGTGTGACCAGGGCAGGTCAGTGGCCAGACAATTCACAGCAAGTGAGTGGGTGAGTTGATGACGTTCCTATCATGTGACTGGCGCGAAACTGGAAGTTTACAAACATCCCAGGGTAAAGAAGAAGGGTCATTTACACTAAGATGCCAACAAAAGTGTCTAACTAGAGAGACAAGGAGATTTGGGAACTCTTGTCAAAAAAGCCTGTCACCAAAATTGTCAAATTCAAGGACCTGGAAGAGAATTGGCTATTTATGATGTACTTATGAACCAGCTATGTTAACAAATATTACAGAGTCCTGCCTCTTGCATGCTCTACCCAGGTGCTACCCTACGCCTAAACCAAATAGAGTATGTCCAGTTGGTGAGCACTCATCTGACATGGACAATGTCCAGTTGTCCTACATGGACAAAAAGGCGACTTTGTCCAACATCCGGAGAATCAGATCCTGAGATTCATATGAGAAATGGCTTTATTTTCATTATGGATTTACAATTGCTAATGGTTTAATTGTTTGGCCTATAAATGTCAGGAATTTGTGAAACACTTCCATTATAACTTCCCAAAGGCCAAGATGACATCTTCTAATCACTTGTTTTGTCTGACTGACAATTCCAGATCAGAGATATTCAATTCACTCTTATAAAACTGAGAAAAAGCTGCTCAAAATATTTCATATCTTTACATAATCAATGAATACTTGATCATCAAAGTAGTTGACCACTAATCCTCTGCCAGTCCAATTCCATCAATGAGGCATATCTACTATTGCTGTAAACACCACTGTCCACCAACAGTCTTCTACACATCTAAATACCATCACACACCACTGCCTTTCCATTCCCTACTCTGCCTCCACACTCTCACTGTGCCGAGAGGAGTCCAGGAGCAGCTGCCATTCCTCTGAGAGATGAAAGGCTGCAATGTCTGCTGAGGGCAGACCAGTAAAACGATGGTCTCTCACAAGGGGGAAGGAGGCAGCGACCAGCGCCAACAGAGGATTCCTTTCATGCCAAAGGGATCTGGAGCTGGACTGAGCTCTGTCTCTGTCCCACTCTATGGACGACTTCAGCCTTCAAGTATCGCTCATCCAACACTGGTGGAACTTATGTGCAGTCCAGCACAGCGCAGCTATCTCTGGACAATATCATGTCTAGTTTTAAACTCTGACATTAATGAGATATAGGCCTGAGAACTGACAAGCTCTCATGCAAAGTGACGCAAAGCAGACTTAACTTCTATCAGGACATGCAGGGGTAAAAGGAAGTGGATTGTTCAAAATGACAGAAAAAGGAGCAATCAATATTTCATAACAGGCAAAGTTGCTCATACATAATTGCTCCCACTGAGACTTCCCGTACAAAGGGGAAACATCCGTTCTGTTCCAATGCCCTGTTGTGTCAGTTTAAATTAAGAGGGATGACAGAGCGTGGACTACAGTCATCTTTTTCTACCTGAGCTGGGCTGCAAGAACACGAGAGGCTCCTATTATAAAATACAGAAGTGCAGTGACAAAGTCTTCCCAATGAGGCGAACAAACCGATGTACTAATATTCCATTTTAGCAGCACTTCAAACTCTAGTGTGTAAGGCCTCCTCTGTGATTGGATCGGAGCTAATAAATTTGACTCCACAGCTCAGAGATAATGCCCAAATTTCAAGCTGTCATAAATCATGATCGTCTGGATATAACTAGGCCAAAATCTAATCAGACCTTTTGGTTTCCATTTGCAGGGGAGTGATTGGGGTTCAGCGATGGACCCAGACAGAAGGAGGAGTGAGGAATCGCTCAGTCATTCTAGGTCAGGTTTTACTTCCTAGAGAGAGCTTTAAAGGGAAAATTCAGCATTTTTCAACCTGGACCCTATTCCCCGATATTTTTGCGTCGAAGTGACTAATGGGAAAAGCAATTTTTTGAAACTGGTCCGGTATTGAGCAAGAGCGCTGCAGCTGGCAGCCATGATACAGGCTGCAATGTAACCAGTTGGAGCATTTGTGCCCCACTAATTTGCGTCCACTGAGAGTGCTTGTTGTTGCCACCGACAGGCTTGCACTGTTACTGCAACATCGTGGAAAGGATCCCAACTAAGATGGACCTTTTTGTTAAAGATAAAAGGTAAGGTAAAAGTAAGGTGAGATCATTTTTGTTTAACCAAAAACAGCCCCAAAATTACAATTGCAAAACCCACCAGACACAAAAATTCCTATTTATTTAAAGGGAGTCTGGATGGTTTGGCTATAGCGACAGTAAGGTCAACTACTTAAACTTTATGGTTTAACAAAAAAGATGATGATTTTTGACCAAAGGATCTATCTCTGTAGGGATTAGTGTTGTCAAAACAAAAAAACAATTTATCAATACATATCAATGTGAAATATTTAAAACGGTTTCAATACTCATTTCCCACAGAATAGAAAGGTTAGTACCAGCTGCACTTTTTTGCCCTCTATTTTTACTACAGTCATTGTGCTGTTCCCTGCTACTAACCAAGAAAAGATAAGTCCTTATTGTCATGTTTTAGCCTCATTATATTTATATTTTAATGGAAATTTTAACCTGTATGCCCTCAATGCCAATTTTCCCAGTGGTATTGAAAATGGTATTGAATATCAATATTTTTCTAGGTATTATATTGAAGTTAGAAATTCCAGTATTGTGACAGCACTGGCAGGGACTTTTTCCATAATGTTTTCAGACACTTGTGATAACAATGAGCCTGTCGGTGGCAAAAACAAGCGCTTAAAGGGGTGGGTTCAAGTTGTTACATTGCAGCCTGTTTTGCAGCTGCTGGCTACAGCACTCTCCCTCAATACTGGACCAACGTCAAAAATTTCAGTTCCTTTAGTCACTCACACAAAATTTCACCTCACTATGACCCTAACACACCAATGTCTTCTCTCCTGCACAACCTTGGAAAGTCATGGGCCATTGTTATCATAAGATATTATGTGGAAGAGGTTCTTGTCAAAACTATAAAAAGAGGAAAAGTCCCCACCAAAAAAAATCTGCTCCTAAACAAGAGAACTGTTGTTGAAATATTGCAGCTAAATTGGGAGTGCATCTGGTCTTGGCTGAGCACACTCCCCTTATCAGAGAGCAGCGTGTGGACAAACATCATTGCAGCTGGCAAAGGGGGGAAGTGAGAAGGCGACGTAGGGTGAGTTAA